CTAATCGAAATTAGCCGAATGTAATGGCATTGGTCCAGACCTTTTCCCACAGTAATGCCAATTAAGTGTGTGCGGTCTTAATAACATACCTATTTAGGCTTTTATAAATATTCTCTCTAGTTTTGCTGAAGCTATAGACCAATGCAACTGAGTATGTGTCTTACTTAAAGAAATCTTACATATAGTGGAAGGATGCATGTGAGTTAGAGGGGGTTGTGGGATAGACAAAACATACAGATGAAGATCCTAAGGGAAAGAGTCAGAAGCTTGTAAATGCTAAATCATTTAGGAGCTTAGACAATTTCCAAGGTTTTGCTGATAATTGCTCGTTGGGTTTATTCAGTAGAATATTGTTTCTCTGTCAGAATGTTTACGCCTAGTAAGACACATTCTGTAGGAGAAAAGTGAAGACCAAGCACAGACAAGTGATGGCACTTAAAATAAGTATCACTGTTGCTATTTTTGTACTGTAGAGCAATTGGTGTTCAGTGCCTTGCTCAATGACACATAGATTTTTCACCTAGTCGGCTCATTAAACCAGTAACCTTTCGGTTACTGGCCCAGTGCTCTTAACCACTAGGCTACCTGCTACCCTAATCCTCTGCAGCAAGCCTGTATGCATAAAGCTAAGTGTGTGACGACCAAGATTGAGATTTCTAAACAATAGCAGAATTGCAAGGACCCCCACTGCCTCGAATTACCCCTAATCTGTGTCCTAATGAAATCTTGCATCCAATCAATTTGATGACACATCCTATTATGGCCAGACACAGCAGACAAAGGATAGAGAGACTACTTAAGGCCCTGTTTAAACTACTGAGGACTACAGATACTACAAATCAACACGATATGCTCTTATTTCAGACTATAAACAAAACTATGTAGGTTCTCTGTCAGCCTTGATTCGCCGTGGAATTAAACAGGGAAATTAATATTAGCAAGTCTGATTTATTATTCAACACAGGTGCTGCTAAGCAACAATCAACAGTAGTATTCTTGCAGAATAAATCCTTACAAACAGCCTCGAGTGCTGCCAGGAAGTAGTAGTTATTAAAGCTAAGTAGTATAGTGCGTAATATAAATTATGGTAATTATTGTAGGAAATATGAGCTGCTAAGGGCACTGAATAATAAGGAAATGGGATTTGATGTCAATGTGCAAGTCAATTAAAGATATGATGCGATGAGGGTGATGAGAAATACTTTCAAGTCATACAGTATCTTTTCTTCTTTACATATATTTTTTTATTTACTCTCCATTCAGACAAATATGACATTTGTGTTGTTATTCCCAGTCAGACACAGAGGGCACAAAAACTCATTGTCTAGATAAATGTATTTATTCAGACAGCCTGGTTATCATACAGCACTGTCAAGCAACGCAAACGAGGAAAAACAAAACCCATACAGTATATGCACAAAACTTCATTTTCCTGAAAAGTCTGATGTAATATCAAGTGTATTTTTATAGCGATTATTATTTTTCATGTAGCTACTCCCCCATAAAATGTACATAATTGTAGTCTTAAATACACTAATGTAGTAGTGATGTGCTATTATTTACTTGTTAGATTAGTCATGTGTACAGAATATATTTCGTGTTGCTGGTATGAACCTTTTTGTCCCCGTTAGCTACAATATGATCTATTTGAATGTCATTTTCACAGCAAAAATAATAATTTCTAAAACAGTTGACAATGTTCCCATACACAATTATTTGAAGGAGTTACGACAAAAGAAGCATTTAATGAGTATCAGGTTGGCAAAATAGGGAATTTCAGTGAAGACTTACAGAAGACCGACTCTTTTACATGTACATATATTGGAAACTTAAGTCATTTTATTTCAAAAGTGCTTTTAGATTAACATTTAATTGCCATCTAATTCATTCAGATTACAAGCAGCAATGTTTGTACAGTAAAAGTTTCTCTTCATATACTTTTGCATTTGACAAGTATAGTAATTGCTTGTATATCTATTCATACAGTGCCTTCATAAAGTATTCACACCCCTTGACTTTTTCTACATTTTGTGGTCCTCTGTAGCTCAATTGGAAGAGCATGGCGCTTGTAATGCCAGGGTAGTGGGTTCGATCCCCGGGACCACCCATAAGTAAAAATGTATGCACACATGAATGTAAGTCGCTTTGGATAAAAGCGTCTGCTAAATGGCTTATTATATTATTACAGCCTGAAATTTAAAATGGACTAAATGTAGATGTTTTTTGTCACTGGCCTACATACAATACCCCCTAATGTCAAAGTGGAATTATGTTATTAGAATTGTTCTTTCATTAAAAATGAAAAGCTGAAATGTCTTGAGTCAATAAGTATTCAACCCCTTTGTTATGGCAAGCCTAAATAAGTTCAGGAGTAAAAATTTGCTTAAGTCACAATCATTTGCATGGATTCACTCTGTGTGCAATAATAGTGTTTGGCTTGTTTTATTTTTATTGCTACCTCATCTCTGTACCCCACACATACAATTATCTGTAACGTCCCCTCACTCGAGCAGTGAATTTCAGACACAGATTCAACCACAAAGACCAGGGAGGTTTTCCAATGCCTCGCAAAGAAGGGCACCTATTGGTAGATGGGTAAAAAAAAAAGCAGATATTAAATATCACTGTGAGCATGGTGAAGTTATTCATTACACTTTGGATGGTGTATCAATACACCCCGTCACTACAAAGATACAGGCGTCCTTCCTAACTCAATTGCCGGAGGCCAATGGTGACTTTCAAACAGTTACGAGTTTAATGGCTGTGATAGGAGAAAACTAAGGATGGATCAACAACATTGTAGTTACTCCACAATACTAACCTAATTGACAGAGTGAAAAGAAGGAAGCCTGTACAGACAAACAGTATTCCAAAACATGCATCCTGTTTGCGACAAGGCACTAAAGTAATACTGCAAACAAATTGGAAAACCTAGAGGAAAACCTGCTTGTCTGCTTTTCACCAGACACTAGGAGATTAATTCACCTTTCAGCAGGACAGTAACCTAAAACAAGGCCAAATATACACTGGAGTTGCCTACCAAGAATACACTGAATGTTCCTGAGTAGCTTGGTTACAAGTTTTGACTTTAATCTGCTTGAAAATCTATGGCAAGACTTGAAAATGGCTGTTTAGCAATGATCAACAAACAACTTGACAGAACTTGAAGACTTTTAAAAAGAATGTGAAAATATTCTACAATCCAGGTGTGCAAAGCTCTTAGACACTTAACCAGAAAGACTCAAAGCTGTAATTGCTGCCAAAGGTGATTCTAACATGTATTGACTCAGGGGCGTGAATACGTATGTAAATTATACATTTCTGTATTTCATTTACAATAAATTAACCAAAAAAATTAAAACATGTTTTAACTTTGTCATTATGGGGTATTGTGTGTAGATGGGTGAGAAAAAACAATTTAATCCATTTTGAATTCAGGCCGTAACACAACCAAATGTGGAATAAGTCAAGGGGTATGAATACTTTCTGAAGGCACTGTACATTATCTGGGTCGTTCCACGAATAGAGTGCCTTTTGCGTCCCTTTAATATTTAAACAAACTGTGCACCAATATTGAATTTTAAAAGCATGTTATATTAAATGTGCCATTTAATATAGACCACATAGAAAATTCAATAAATCCGATTTTTATATGAATAAAGACTTGCTAAAGTGCCAGAAGTCACAGTTTTGACATGTCCCTCTTCATGTTTTTCCGACTTCTAGGAAGGTTTTAACCCACTTAACCACAAAATGTCTCCAGGTTCTCTCCATCATTGTAAAGCCCTAGTTATGTTTTTGCTTTGACAAAGTCATTTCTGAAGATTATTATTTATTTAATGTGATAAGTGATTAATCACGTCCCTCATTTTAAGGTCAACCCCGGTGAGTGAACAGAACTCTCGTTTTAATATGGTGAAGTAATTCCTTAAATTTTTTCCCCGAAATAAACATTGAATAGTCAAATTATAGTGTAAAACCAGGTGAGCTGGTTCTACTCTTTTTGGCCATTTTCTGGTGTTTTGTGGTGGAAAACTGAGCCCTTCGAGCATACCACGTCAAACCTGTTATCCGTAGATAGATAGGCTTGAAATGCTTTAACAGCTCAACATTTTATGTGCCCCTCCATGTTGCACACAACAAGCTTCCATTCCCCCTGTCACAAGGGGATTTATGGCTGATTTAAGATGAAAACCTCAACCCTGTTACTCTGATGGCACTTTATTGGCACTTACTGTAGTCCTTTTTTTATTTAACTCCTTGAGATGGGAAAACATGTTTGTTTTTTTATTAAGTTGAACATGTTCTTTATGTCAATGTTAAAATTAGGTGAACGTAAAAATGTTTTATCAAGTTACACTACCCAAAATGTACTCTATTCGTGGAAAGACCCATCTATTTATATAATTAAAGAAGGGTGATGGTCAGTAACATGGGCTAGGTGCCATGCAAACAGTCTACTGTGACAGAAAGCAAATAATATAGAACAGGAAACATGATCCCAAAGCCATTTGCAAAAGAGTAAACTCAACTCCCACACTGCAAGACTCGCTAAAACCCATGTTTTATCATCTCTATAAATTCTTAAAACAAAAGGAGATGGCAGATAATTCACAGCACCACTTGGGAGAGATTTTATATACACAAGCTGATGGCATAAAGATATTGGGGTGTTTGATAGATGTATTTTCCTTTAATAAGCTTCTCTATGGAGAAGTTAGACGTTATTCCTAGCATTACTCATAGCCCTCTCACAGCAGACAAATTCAAACAAGGCGACTTCAGTTTCCAACCACCACCTCCTCATCGCTCTCTGTCCTATCTGCACTCCCTTTGGGATCCTGGGGAGGAATGGCTGCACAGGGGCGTACCGCTCCCAACCAGGACATATGTAGGTGGGCGTGTGTGTGTGAGTGTGTGTGTGTGTGTGGGCTGTGCCCCCTGGCTGTGGCCTCCAGACCTTGGCCCTACCCAGCAGCACACATAACCTGGTCTTGGGCTCACAGCATCTGCCATTCGAAAGCAAACATGACGTTGACCACCTCCAGGCTGCGGGCGATCTCCTCCAGGATACAGTGCTGCTGCCACAGCTGGTGGAGCTTCCGGTACCGCTCAGGGCACAGGTGCAGGGGGTTCCCCCTCCTAATCTCACATTCACATACAGTCCGTCAGTGACACAGGTCTCACATAACATTTGCTTTAAAATATGCTATTCTTCTACAGAACGACATCAGAGATACATGTAATGAATTTTTCAAAAGAGAGGAGATGTGGCCAGCTTACCCCAGCTGTGGGTCAGTCTCTCCGTAGTCATCAAGATAAGGGGCTGGGTAAGTGCTTCCTCGTGTCTTACTGGCCATCAGGACCATCTCACACTCTCTTATCCTAATCAGTGGGGGGAGGGGGAAACAAAGCAATCAGCAGAAGCTTTATAGAACATTTGAACATATTTAACCACATGCCCACCCTGTCCCTACAAGGAACCCTTGTCCCCGACCCACCTGAGGAACATGCCCACTCCAGCCCCACAGGTGGCAGCGTGTGCGGTGCAGGCGCCCACCTCCTCCCCGTCAAGCTGGCTATGACAGCAGGTGCTCTGGGAGCACAGGATGGTCCCACAGAAGAGGCACAGGGTGGGGTGCTTCCTCTCATCATCTGTGGAGTTAGGACAACTGCACAGGAGGGCAGAGAGAGAAAGAGGACTGTCTCCACTGGAACTCAACAGCTCTCCCATAATTTAACCAACGTTTATGAGAATCCAAGTAAGACAGTGGTGCCTACTTACTGAAAGTGACTGGCTTGATTGAGGAGCGCGCTGTAATCCTCAGGAAGCTCAATTAACCGATTCCTTTTCCTGGGATAACTGCAATAATCATTTTATAAAAGATTCAGTTATTCATAGGGCAGAAAGGAAAACAAATCTTAAATACTTCATTCAGTTACTAAGTGAATTTGAGCTTACCTGATTGTCTGCATTTCCCCTTTTAGTGCATTGGTTACAGCTGGGTGCCCACACCATCTGAGAGACAGAGGCCATCAGTAAAAAATATTTCTTACATTACATCAAACAATTACCTTAGAAACATAGCTACCATCACAAATCTGATAATAAGAACATCAGTTAAAGATGTATAAATGTTCTATTCATTTCAATGTATTTTGGCTGTGACTAACAGGTTATTGATATTACCTCTGTATTAAGGGAGAGACAGTCCCACGGTGCTCCTGGAAGAGCTGGAACACATTGGAGGGCAATGCCAGATAACTGCACAGCGCCTCCACCTGGCCTTGAGAGGTAACTGCAGCCGAAACAGCATGAATGGTTCAGTCAGTGAAACCCTAACCCATTCAATCCCCTTATACACCACAATAGTCTGAGCCCTGAGATACCTACCTGTAGTACTGGCGAGCTCCTCTGGAGGGGGCACCCCTGTAAGGCAATTGAAGAAGAGGGCAGCGCAGCGCAGGAAGGGCGTGACCCCTCTCCTCACTCTGTCTGCCACTGAGCACCCAGACACGTCTGACCTCAGCCTGGACAATAAGACACACAGTCACATAATCTGCTTAGGAAAACAATGGACCTTTGACTGGATGAACATGAATGGAAAATGTCCAAAAACGACCCAATGCACAATTCACACACATACAGTATATTACATAAAAAAATACAGAGAAAAGGCAGGCAGCATTCCTTCTTACCCGCCGGTACATTGTGACACAGTGGCATAGAGCTCTGCTGCTGCCCTCGCCTCCTCTCCCTCCTCTCCCCCAGACACTGCTGTGTAATCTGTGGAGGAGAGGAGGACCTGCACCACGTGGGCCATGGTGACAAGATGGAGGATGTGGAGGTGGTTGTAGGCAGAGCTGACAGCAGAGGGCTGCAGGTCCACCGCCTCCTCCTGGTAGAGCGCTGGAATGGCAAGCACCAGCCCCACCTGACAACACACAGAGAAAGGTTGGTTATACCCAGAGCGTGTGGAAGACCTACTGTATGCAGCCAACAGAACATTAATTTCCTTCATTGGTGACTTACCAGAAGGTGGAAGAAGTCTACTTCTAGAATAGAAGGTGTGCTCTCTGAACTCATGGTGGGTAACAAGGCTGTAGGGAGAGAGAGCCAGAGGAGGCAACCAAATTAACTATTACATAAAATACCAAATCACACAAAATGAGATGACAATGTAAGGTGGATGGATATTGTGTGCTGGGTGGTGTTTGAACACGTACCTCCTAACATGTCTGTGAAATGCTTCTGAATGACAGCCTGGGAGCTCTTGAGGCGTTGGGTTGCAGAAAACTGAACCACAGCCTTCAGGCCCGCAAGCTGAAAAGGAAAGCAGAGTTACTGTGATAAACCCCCCCGAGGGAATAGGTGAAAACCGGTCAAACACAGTCCCTCCTCTGTAATATATCTGACCTACCTGTCTGTTTTGTAAAGAGCCAAACAGTGTCTTATCCTCTTCCTGCAGCAAGTTCTCTGTAGGAAAACAAAAACAAAAAACATGCTGAGTAGTGGCACAATTAGTTCAGCTAGAAAAAGGATTGAAAAAGAAACAGATAGAAAGAGTAAAGAAGAAAGACGTGGGACTGACCAATGGCCTGGATGGTGAAGGCACAGGTGTTCCAGGACATGACGGGCACGCCGGGACACAGCTCGTTAGGGGCCGTCTGCAGCCCCACCCTGTGCACCGTGGTGGCACACACCACCAGCATCTCTGCTATGCTGTCAGAGTACTTCCTCCTGAGGAAGATCAACAGGGGGACATCTTTAGAATATCTCAAGTACTTATTACATTACAGAGCATGTGTTGAGTGGATACATAATATAGTACACTGTCAATAACATGGAAATGATGTTAGTGTGTGTCGTGCGCTACAGAAACATTTGAATAAGCCATTGAGAGCTGATGGTTGTGTGTGTGTGACTCACGGCTCTTTCACTCCAAAGCTGAGGATGGAGCGGAAGTCTGGCTGGCCTTCCCCACAGAGGGCAGTGTCTCCATCACTGCTAGTCTGACTGCTGCTTTCTGGACCACAAACACAACGGAGTCACACCTGCAACAGCACTGGGCTCGCTCCACTAAAATGACTTTGTGAGATCACACAGCTGTCTTTACCTGGTCCCTGAGTGACAGACCGGAGTCCTTTGATCCTGGCAGAGAGGATCTGGATCCAGCGAGGGAGGGTGAGGAGCTGTCCCACCAGCTCTGCATTCTCACTGCAGACAGGACATAAGGGACAGGCCGGTTAAAACTGATATGTTCACTATTTGGCCATAAATCAGATTTAGTTTTATGGATACTCCAAAAACATATCTAAACTCAGTTAGTCATTTAGGAAGTGGCAATAAAGTACGGCATGGCTAAAAGGAAGACATACTAGTTGAGTGTGAGTGGTTCCAAGGGGATGAGAGGAACCACAGTGTTGCACAGGGACTTGCAGAGCGGGCACATGTACTCCCCGTTCTCCAGGTCAATGATGAGCTCAGCATGGAGCCGGTTCCGAGTGGTGTTCTGGACTGCCTCAAAGTACCTAGAACAAACAGACAAAAAAACAGAGATGTAGGTATAATCTTTCTTTAGGTCTTCAGGCCCAAGATAGTATGTTGGAATCATCATCCCTATGATTCATTGATAGACACGTTACTGCAGTGACTCACTTCTGCCAGCAGATGGCGTGCATGACGTGGCCACAGCTGCCAGTGTGAGTCCCCACAGCCAGGTCAGGTGGCATGAAGAGGGGGTACAAGGTCTCTGTCACACAGAACAACACATTAACATCTTTAATCATTTCAACAGTAATGCAAAAAGAGATGACAGTGGTCAGAGAGTATTGTGTACCACAGGACATCAAAAGGAGGAGAGTGTGAAAAGGGCACTAACCCTTGTTGGCCAGAGTCTTCCCCCGGCACTGTGTAAGCACGGTGGACCTCTGGACACAGGCGGTCAGCACCATGGCTGGGGAGCGGGCCTGGACCTCCTGCTCCTCCTGACATAGGATGCAGGTCAGCACCTCCCGCTCAGCCGGGGTGGAGCCCCGTTGAGGCCCCACAGCCACGCACAACTCTCCCAGCTCCATGGCACAGCTACAGGATAGGAGGAAGAAACATGACAACACACTTATCAGTTATACAGTTGAAGTCGGAAGTTTACATACACCTTAGCAAAATATATTTAAACTCAGTTTTTCACAATAACTGACATTTAATCCTAGTAAAAATTCCCTGTCTTAGGTCAGTTAGGATCAACACTTTATTTTAAGAATGTGAAATGTCAGAATCCTACCAAATACTTCTGACCCACTGGGAAGTTTACATACACTCAATTAGTATTTGGTAGCATTGCCTTCAAATTGTTTAACTTGGGTCAAACGTTTCAGGTAGCCTTCCACAAGCTTCCCACAATAAGTTGGGTGAACTCCTGAGTGGCGCAGTGGTCTAAGTGCCACTAGAGATCCTGGTTCGAATCAAGGCTCTGTCGCAGCCGGCCGCGACCGGGAGACTCATGGGCGGCGCACAATTGGCCCAGCGTTGTCCAGGGTAGGGGAGGGAATGGCCGGCAGGGATGTAGCTCAGTTGATAGAGCATGGCGTTTGCAACGCCAGGGTTGTGGGTTCGATTCCCACGGGGGGCCAGTATAAAAAAAAATATGTATTCACTAACTGTAAGTCGCTCTGGATAAGAGCGTCTGCTAAATGACTAAAATGTAAATGTAATGTAAATGTGAATTTTGGCCCATTCCTCCAGACAGAGCTTGTGTAACTGAGTCAGGTTTTTAGGCCTCCTTGCGCACATGCTTTTTCAGTTCTGCCCACACATTTTCTATAGGATTGAGGTCAGGTCTTTGTGATGGCCACTCCAATACCTTGACTTTGTTGTCCTTAAGCCAAGCCAACTTTGGAAGTATGCTTGGGGTCATTGTCCATTTGGAAGACCCATTTGCGACCAAGATTTAACTTCCTGACTGATGTCTTGAGATGTTACTTCAATATATCCACATCATTTTCCTTCCTCATGATGCCATCTATTTTGTGAAGTGCACCAGTCCCTCCTGCAGCAAAGCACCCCCACAGCATGATGCTGCCACCGCCGTGCTTCACGGTTGGGATGGTGTTCTTCGGCTTGCAAGCATCCCCCTTTTTCCTCCAAATATAACAATGGTCATTATGGCCAAACAGTTCTATTTTTGTTTCATCAGACCAGAGGACATTTCTCCAAAAAGTATGATCTTTGTCCCCATGTGCAGTTGCAAACCGTAGTCTGGCTTTTTTATGGTGGTTTTGGAGCAGTGGCTTCTTCCTTGCTGAGTGGCCTTTCAGGTTATGTCGATATAGGACTCGTTTTACTGTGGATATAGATAGTTTTGTACCTGTTTCCTCCAGCATCTTCACAAGGTCCTTGGCTGTTGTTCTGGGATTGATTTGCACTTTTCGCACCAAAGTACGTTCATCTCTAGGAGACAGAACAAGTCTCCTTCCTGAGCGGTATGACGGCTGCGTGGTCCCATGGTGTTTATACTTGCGTACTATTGTTTGTACAGATGAACGTGGTACCTTCAGGCGTTTGGAAATTACTTGTGTCATGCACAAAGTAGATGTCCTAACCGACTTGCCAAAACTATAGTTTGTTAACAAGACATGTGTGGAGTGGTTGAAAAACAAGTTTTAATGACTCCAACCTAAGTGTATGTAAACTGTCCGACTTCAACTGTAGATATCCTCCTAATCACTAACCTTCACTCAAGGAATCAGCCCAATTAAAAAAATTTGAATTCACTCTCCTTCCTGCAGTAAACTTGAGATACTACTAGGCAAGCTAGAGTATATTATTAAAGAGATTTTCCAGTACTTTTGTATACTTTTCAGCCAGTAGTTCTGAAAGTAGCGCTCACGAACCAAAAATGGTGTACTACATCATATATGTGCAGATATGTGCACCATGTCATTGCCCTTTCTCTCTGCTGCTTATGCATCTTGCTAGCAGTCACTCAAATGGCGAGGGGCTGAAGGTCATTGGCTAAAACTCAAATTGCTAGGGGGCTGGCCCACGTGGGAGAAAATGTAGGGAAAATGGCACAGCACAGCTTTCAGAAAAACTGTAGCTTACAAACTAGGGGTTTCATGGCTAATTGAGGTAAGACGGTAATTCTGCTCATAGATTATGCATGTATGAACTACACATTGACATATCCAGCCCAAAGCGAGAGGTTTAAAAAATACTTAGTAGACGCCAAGGTTCCGGAGCATGTCTTTAAAGGAAGGGCAACACTCTGTAGTCTCCCTCATGGCCAACAGCTCTCCCTACCCCCTCCTCACCTCTCTCTGGAGGCCACAGGTTCCCCCTGGGAACTCTCTGGCATGTTGTCATACAGCATCTTGTGTGACTCAATGAAGTTCTTCTGCATGGCCGACATCTGGGCCATGATCTTCTGGCGATGGAGCTTGGCTGCCTCTGCCTTCCTCTTCCGCTCGGCTTTGTCTTTGTCAGGGATGATCTGAGTAAATCAGACAGAAGGTGAGGATTCTTCACTGCAGAAATGTTACATGACAAAAAAGGTGTAAAAATGACCCATGTTCTGTTTTTACCTCCTCTGGCTTGGTCTGCTCCACGCTCATAGAGGCTGCTGGACTGGATTTCTCCCTAAGGCACTTCACCATCTCAAACATCTACCAGAAAGAGAAATATGATCATTTAAACAAAAAGCTGTACTGTAAACTGTCTAAAATCTCAGTTGAAACGAGATTATCAAATCTCTTAACAGGACAATGAAGTTAACCCACCTGCAGTGTCCACTTAATCATATCCTTCTGGGCTTCCAGGGAAGGAAGAGCCGTCATCTTGGACAGGAGGTGGAACACAGATTTGCCATGCTCTGAGCCGATCTCTGAGAGAGTAGAGAAACAGAAAATGTCTCAAGAACAAATGTATATGAAGTGTACCCTAAACCAAGAATAATCTAAGAGACAAACATTTAAAGACAAAAAGTAGTATGTCTAGTACACTCACTGCGAGCCTTGAGGCTGAAGTCAAAGGTGACCTGCTCCACAGTGCTGGCTCCCAACTGGGTCTTCTCCTCCAACAGACCCTGGCCTATAAGGTGCAGGGCCTGTGGGGGGCACACACAGTTACAGTTTATATGGTTCATATAAAAAGGAAAGAGAAAGAGAGAGCGAGTGGGATAGAAATAAATGCGAAAGGTACCCTCTGGATCATGGCCTCTGTCCAGTAGGTGGCCCGGTCCTCCACAGCTCTCTGCAGGACTCGTCTGAGGATGTGGATGAGGATGTCACAGCACAGCAGACCCACTATGCTGGAGAAAGCTGGGCAAAAGGGAGGGGGGACAGGGGGACGCAGGGCTGGGCATGGACAGAGACAGACAGTGATGAATCATAAGCAAATAGTGAATCACCTACAGGGATTGGCTCATAATAACACTGTGTTCCTTTCTATGTAAGTATGACGATAAGTTCCATCTCACCTTTGTCACAACCCTCCTGAGTTCTTCTCTTCTTCTGAGCATCTTCCGCCTGGAGCACAGAGTGCAGGGGTCACAAGATTACACATTAGCAAATGGCAGCAGCCAAGGGAAAAACGGCTTTGGAAAAATATATATAATATGCATGTAGCCTCTGTACCAACATATACAGTGACTTGCGAAAGTATTCACCCCCCTGGGCATTTTTCCTATTTTGTTTCCTTACAACCTGGAATAAAAATTGATTTTTGGGGGGTTTGTATCATTTGATTTACACAACATGCTTACCACTTTGAAGATCCAAAATATTTTCTCTTGTGAAACAAAAAAGAAATAAGACAAAAAAACTGAAAACTTGACCGTGCATAACTATTCACCCACCCAAAGTCAATACTTTGTAGAGCCACCTTTTGCTGCAATTACAGCTGCAAGTCAATTGGGGTGTCTCTATAAGCTTGGCATATCTAGCCACTGGGATTTTTGCCCATTCTTCAAGGCAAAACTGCTCCAGCTCTTTCAAGCTGGATGGTTTCCGCTGGTGTACAGCAATATTTAATTCATACCACAGATTCTCAATTGGATTGATGTCTGGGCTTTGACTAGGCCATTCCAAGACATTTAAATGTTTCCCCTTAAACCACTCAAGTGTTGCTTTAGCAGTATGCTTAGGGTCATTGTCCTGCTGGAAGGTGAACCTCCGTCCCAGTCTCAAATCTCTGGAAGACAGGTTTCCCTCAACAATTACCCTGTATTTAGCACCATCCATCATTCCTTCAATTCTGACCAGTTTCCCAGTCCCTGCTGATGAAAAACATCCCCACAGCATGATGCTGCCACCACCATGCTTCACTGTGGGGATGGTGTTCTCGGGGGTGATGAGAGGTGTTGGGTTTGCGCCAGACATAGCGTTTTCCTTGATGGCCAAAAAGCTCAATTTTAGTCTCATCTGAACAGAGTACCTTCTTCCATATGTTTGGGGAGTCTCCCACATGCCTTTTGGCGAACACTAAACGTGTTTGCTTATTTTTTTCTTTAAGCAATGGCTTTTTTCTGGCCACTCTTCTGTAAAGCCCAGCTCTGTGGAGTGTACGGCTTAAAGTGGTCCTATGGACAGATACTCCAATCTCCGCTGTGGAGCTTTGCAGCTCCTTCAGGGTTATTGTTGGTCTCTTTGTTGCCTCTCTGATTAATGCCAACTTTGCCTGGTACGTGAGTTTTGGTGGGCAGCCCTCTCTTGGCAGGTTTGTTGTGGTGCCATATTCTTTCATTTTTTTAAATTATGGATTTAATGGTGCTCTGTGGGATGTTCAAAGTTTCTGATCTTTTTTTATAACCCAACCCTGATCTGTACTTCTCCACAACTTTGTCCCTGACCTGTTTGGAGAGCTCCTTGATCTTCGTGGTGCCGCTTGCTTGGTGGTGCCCCTTGCTTAATGGTGTTGCAGACTCTGGGGCCTTTCAGAACAGGTGTAAATATACTGAGATCATGTGACAGATCATGTGACACTTAGATTGCACACAAGTGGACTTTATTTAACTAATTATGTGACTTCTGAAGGTAATTGGTTGCACCAGATCTTATTTAGGGGCTTCATAGCAAAGGGGGTGAATACATATGCACGCACCACTTTTCCGTTATTTATTTTGTATAATTTCTTTTAACACTTTTTTTTTTTTCATTTCATTTCACCAATTTCGACTATTTTGTGTATGTCCATTACATTAAATCCAAATAAAAATCCATTTAAATTACAGGTTGTAAAGCAACAAAATAGGAAAAACGCCAAGGGGGTTGAATACTTTTGCAAAGCACTGTACCTTGCTATGCTGAGATTTAGAATAGTGAAAGAAGAAGGGATTGAATTCCGGCAGGCACTCCTTTTTCACTTCATACAAGCCGTGTCCAGAAACACCTGGCTTCCTAAATAGGAGAATAAAGGGTCAGTGAAAAAGCTCCTCAAACGTTAGTCTCTGCTGAAGACGTTATTTATTATTTTGATTTGTATCATTATGGTCAAGATGACCTTAAGTGTTACACTTACTTGAAGGTGGCAACTTTTGGGATGACAGTTTCCAGGCCAGTTTCATGGCTCTCCTACAAACAAAGACAGTACATTGTTGCAGTATAAAAGGGGATGAAGAAGTGGTACCAGTATTAGTGCTTTAAGGCCTTCTCACACTGTACGTTGAATTCAGTCTTTTAGGATTATAACATGTGATTCAAAATGCAAAAAGGCACTCGCACATCTGAGCTATCTTTGTTGCATGGTAACAATTGAATAACATGAAAAAAAAGAAGAAACCTGCACACTGCTCTTGGTAGTATCACTGATCTTTATTAAGCTTTATAAGAGCTCTGACGAAGGCCTTCAGGCCGATACATAAAGCTTAATAAAGAGCAATGATACTAGCAAGAGCAGTGTGCGCGTTTCTTCTTTTGTCTCAGGATTATTACATGTAACACTGTTTCGATGTTACCAAATTAAAATCTTGATATCAACCTGGCCAGATTGTACCATTTGCTTCAGTGTAGTCGTCACATTCAGCGATTGGTTTGCGAGGTTACGTCAGCCGACGTAGGTTACATCAACTGCAGTGGTGTATTTGATCTGTGCATGTGCCAGCACCAGCAGCGCTAGCCTTCCTCTTATTGTGGTCGCCACTAGTTAACACCGCCACAAAGTCATAAACCCTGCCTATACAAGATATCTTCTTAAAATCTGATTTTAATCCTAATCCTAACCTTAATCACACTGCTAACATTATGTCTAACCCTAACCTTAAATTAAGACCTCAAAGCTGTATTATCTAGTGGGAACCTCTTATGCGCGAGTGAAGTGAGTTCAGAAAAACTGAAAGTACGCATCTTAGAAATAGTTCACATGCAAATATTGCATGTCCGAACTCAAAAATATGTTTCCCAAAAATAACATGGTCGCTGTGGAAGAAAGTTTATTTTGATTGCCGATTTAGCGCATTTATCAAAATTCCATCAAATAGCTTGATTTCATGTGTCATGTAAAAGATTATTTGGGAAATCGTTCTTCTTGCAAAGCATGTAAACGTTTAAATTGAGCTATTACATTAATCTGACTATTCAATCGTATTATTCTGTGCATACTCAGTGTAAGCCGTGTTCCTATTGGTCAGTCACCGAGATCGGCTCGCAACAGCAGCCACAATACACAATAAAAGCTAAACATTTCTGACATTGCCAGAACTTTGTCGGAGCCTACGCCACACGTAGTGGTACTTAAAATCGGCAGACCTAGACCGTGTCACACAGAACCGGCCAAGATGTCTAACAATCGTTTACGACCTAAGAATTTGCTTGTGACATGGACATTCCGTCTGGGACGGCAAAATCCTGGTATAAGACGGCTAAAATCGTAGTCTGTGTGGGCCTTTAAAAGTGTAGTATAGGTCCACGTTCTCACGTTCTCTGGCAGGCCCTTGACCAGGCTGCTGTGAGCCATGGGCTGGATGCACAGCAGGTGGATCACCTCCCTCATCGTCACATCCTCTTTGGTCACCTGACTGATCCCTGGGACATACCGCTCCCCTGGGGACACATGGGGCATGACATACAGAATGAGACACCCCTCAACATAAACAATAACTGCTATATCATCTAGCCAACAAGATGTCACTATACAGTCAACTTACTAACTACACATTAGGATTTCGCCAGACATTTACTTTAGTAGATATGTTATTTAGAAAACAGCTTAGGGACGTACCAACAATGATGATGAGGAGGTAGAGCATCTCTTCTGTTAACCGGTTCCACTGTTTCAGCAGTTCCTGCACAGGAGGATTGGTATTTTATTAATTGACCATTTTGCCAAAATGTAATACTTATTTATTTGAACCAATAGTCATTAGTCGCTCTTACTTGGTCTTTGCTTGAGAGACTTCCATTGAACACATCAAAGAGCTCAAATCTCTGCAAGATCAGCATGATGAAGTGGTTGGGGTCCATTTTGGAAGCAGCAATCTGTACAAAGTTTTGAGAGGAGACTTCCAATTATGTAGTGGTAGTCAGGAGACTCCATAGAACAGGGGTGTCAAACGCCCGGCCCGCAGGCCGGATCAGGCCCGCAAACGGGTTTAATCCGGCCCGCGAGATGATTTTAAAAAAATAAAAAAAAATATTTGTCAAGTATAAAAATGCGCTGCAATTTTTCTAATAAAATAAACTGCTGTTCCAATTGCGTCCACTGGATGGCGCAATAGCAATTGTGTTAAGCAAGCAAACTGTTTATACCGGGGCAGAGCAAGTAGGTCAAGCACGTGCAGCCAATGAGCTACTTTGTTTTGCCCGCGATATTTATTACGGCTTCTACTTTTAACATTACGTGCTTTGGCACCCTCATTGCCCCAATATGTCTCTGTCAAAAAAGAGAAAAGTGGACGCAGAGTGCAGTGTTCCAAGAAAAATGGTCATCCTATTTATTCACGGAATTGAATGGGAAAGCTGTATGTTTGGTGTGTTCAGAGCATGTTGCAGTGCTGAAAGAATATAACCTTCGTCGCCACTATGTGAGTCTTCATGCCGACAAATATGACAACTTTCAAGGACAGCGGAGATGAGAGAAGGTGAATGAACTGTTGGCGGGTCTGAAGAAACAGCAGTCTGTGTTTACTCACAGCCGAGACATCAGTGACGCTGCAGTGAAAGCTAGCTACCTCATTGCTAATGAAATCGCAGTGGCTTCAAAACCATTTAGTGAGGGTGAATTTGTAAAAACATGCATGATGAAGGCAGCGGAGATTGTGTGCCCTGAAAAGCGGCAGGCTTTTGCAAATATCAGCCTGACAAGAAACACAGTTGCAGACAGGATTTCCGATCTTTCAGTGGATTTGGACAGCCAGTTGAAGCAAAAAGTAAAGTCATTTATTGCGTTTTCGGTTGCAATTGATGAAAGCACGGACATTACAGATGTTGCACAACTGGCCATTTTCATCCGCGGAGTTGATGACACATTGACCGTCACCGAGGAGTTCGTGGAGTTGGTGCCGATGACAGATACAACGACAGCAGCTGATATTTTTACCGCACTCGTCGGCGCGCTGGACAGGGTCGGAGTGGACTGGTCCCGCGCTGTCAGCCTGGCTACAGATGGTGCGCCCTCAATGATCGGGAAAAAAAGCAGGCGTTGTGACAAAGTTCAGAGAGAAAGTGCAATCTGCAAATGGAGGACGTGATTTTTTGACTTTTCACTGTATTTTGCACCAGGAGGCTTTGTGTTGCAAGTCATTAAAGATGGATAACGTCATGAAGGTGGTCATCCAAACTGTTAATTTCATCCGATCCAGAAGCCTGAATCACCGTCAGTTTGACAGCCTTCTCAGAGAGAAAGACCACATCTATGGCCTGCCATACCACACTGAGGTAAAATGGTTAAGCCGAGGTGCTGTGCTGAGGCGTTTCTTTGATTTACGAGAAGAAATTGAACAGTTCATGGAAGAAAAGGGCAAACCAGTGTTAGAATTTCATTCCGCAGAATGGATGCAGGACCTTGCATTTATGGTGGATGTTACAAAGCACCTGAATAACTTGAACAAACAGCTGCAAGGGCGCAACAAAGTTGTCACGCAGTATTATGACAGCATACGTTCTTTCAAGTTGAAGCTGTCATTGTGGGAGACGCAACTTGCCAGTGGTGATGCAGCTCACTTCCCCGGTCTGAAAAATGTGTGCGCGACCCAACATGTGGCAGACATGAAGCGGTTCAAAGATAAAATAACGGGACTGTTACGGGAGTTTGAGCAACCCTTTCAGATTTATGTTTATATGTTTTTATGTTGATGTGCTATTGTTTTTAATTGATTTTATTTGTATATTTAACCTATTCTTGACTCTGTGGTTCTTGCACTTGTTTGGGGAACAGGATTTCATTATTTTTATCTACATTTCTGCCTGAGAAATGACACCCTGATATAGTTCTGTGATATAGTTCTGTGAATCACTGAGGCATTGTGTGTTTTTTTGTCCTCAGAACTTTCAAATAACTTGAGGTGTTTTATGATTAATAGTGATGTTGTGCTTTTGGACACTGTCCTCAGGCTCCAGCTTTATGTTTATATGTTTTTATGTTGATGTGCTATTGTTTTTAATTGATTTTATTTTATTTGTATATTTAACCTATTCTTGACTCTGTGGTTCTTGCACTTGTTTGGGGAACAGGATTTCATTATTTTTATCTACATTTCTGCCGAGAAATGACACCCAGATATAGTTCTGTGATCTGTGAAACAGTTCTGTTAATCACTGAGGCATTGTGTGTTTGTGTGTTCTTTTTCTTTAGAATTTTCAAATAAACTTGACGTGTTTTATGATTAATAGTGATGTTGTGCTTGTACTATTTTGGACACACTGTCCTCAGGCTCCAGCTTTATGTTGTATGTTGATCGTATTAAAACAAAGAAAACAATCTGAAGTTGTTGTTTTTAAGTTATATATATACCATGATTTTTCCGGTCCGGACCACTTGGGAATAGATTTTCCTCCGTGTGGCCACTGAGCTAAAATGAGTTTGACACCCCTGCCATAGAATAAAAAGGAGGTGAGTGCAGAACAATGTTGCTGTTGTTAAACACTAACCTGTAGCATGATGACATCCTTGTCAAACATCTCATCCCTGCATTTTACATCGTGATAATAATACACCTGGAAATGACAAATAATCATACTTTGAAACACATTAAAGCAATCACAAAATGTGAAATCAATCCGTGAAAAGTTCAGGTTTAGCAACAGTTGACACCATCAGTCCATCCAAGCCATCACATCCCACCTCTCACCTGGCTGACGAGCGAGAGCCCGTTCCTGCGCCACATCTCAGCTGAGACTTGGGCAGCCAGCACCACACAGCGCAGAGGGTGCTCCGCAAACCAGGTGAAGTCACAGCTCTCCTGTAACATATAGACGGCTCTGTCTTTTAGCAACAGCAGTGGGAAGAAGATTGTCTGCAGTGCACAACAAGCTGGCAGGCTGACTGATGATACAAAGCTGATTCTTACAGACTTACGACAGATAAAAACACAAGAAAACTTGTCACAGATACTTACTGGATCCACAAATTCATGGAGGCGTTTGACTGCCCCTGTACAACACAGCTGTACATACAGGCCTGGGGATCATAAGGAACAGGTATTAGAGGTTCCGCAAATCTCAAGATGCACCAAAGAACACAAGAGTGAAGGTGGAATGACAGCATAACCAATAGGGCTGGGATGATACCAGTATCGCGATAACCTCTTTAGGAAAGCAGCCCTAATGTTGGAAACAAACATCATTATGATGTCATCCAGAGTCACATTTATTTATTTTTTCTCCAAGCTATAGCACACAATATTTTTCATACAACAGGTTTTTAAAGAGAGTCTGCTTTGTGTTTTCATTTTTGCCATGCAGAAAAAATTGCGATAGTGGTCTCGTCCTGGCCCTAATAACCAATAGGTATGCTGTGTCATCTTCATTTCCACAACCCCAACTACTGTCCCAACACATAGAGCAATTCCCCAAGGCCCATAGGGGCAGACAGATGGACAGTATGGTTCTTCTCACCAGCGAGCGCCCTGGAGATGGGCAGGTGTATGCTGACAGGCTCCTGGGACACCTTGTAGGGGCTGACATGGAGGATGTGTTTACACATGTAGTAGTCTGTGGCCTCGCTTTGAAAGGGTTGGTTATTGCAGCGCATCAGCGCCCTGTGGCACTCCTTGAAGGACAGGAGGAGAACAGTCTCCTGGGGGGCAGAGATACCGGTCAAGTACACAGGAACATACACTCTTAAAAATATTCAGCCATTCATTTATCAGAGATTATGAGGGATTTGGGGATTTTTAAAACCATCGCGTAAGGACTTACATCAGAGGAACACCATTCCTGGAACATGACGAGGATGTGTCGTAGCTGTCTCTGGATAGAAAACCCAGCCTCCCATTCAGGCTCCACCTCGATGTGCTGACCAAACTGCCGCTTCACCTCCTCCATACCCTACCAAGAGAACAACCATCTGATGTATTTCATGATGGAGGCAAAGACTGCAAGTAATTTCAAAATCCCTAATGCCGGACAGTTACCCCAGAGTGTAAAGCGACTGAGTGTACCTGCATGCAGTTGAGGAGCCCCAGGAAGACCCTGAACCCCTCCAGGAACTGGGTCCTCAGCTCCTCAGTCCACACAGAGGGCTTGCTGATCAGAATGTACCTGTGGAGTAGAACACATTCATATTACAGATAAGCATCAGGCAGCTATAGCAAGATACATATTCCTAATGTCAGAGACAGCGGTGGAAAAAGTTCCCAATTTTCATACTTGAGTAAAAGTAATAGAAAACGACTCAAGTAAAAGTGAAAGTCACCCAGTAAAATACTACTTGAGTAAAAGTCTAAAAGTATTTTGTTTTAAATATACTTAAGTATCAAAAGTAAATGTAATTGCTAAAATATACTTAAGAATTAAAAGTAAAAATATTTTTTAATTCCTTATATAAAGCAAACCAAAGGCATAATTATCTTGTTTTTTAAATGTACGGATAGCCAGGGGCACGCTCCAACACTCAGACATAATTTACAAACGAAGCATGTGTTTAGTGAGTCCGCCAGATAAGAGGCAGTAGGGATGACCAGGGATGTTCTCTTGATAAGTGTGTGAATTAGACAATTTTCCTGTCCTGCTAAAGCATTCAAAATGTAACAAGTACATAATTTTCTTTAGGAATGTAGTGAAGTAAACGTAAAAGTTGTCAAAAAATAAATAGTAAAGTAAAGTACAGATACCCCAAAAAACATTCAAGTATTTATTACTTAAGTACCTTACGCCACTGGTCAGAGATTAAGCTGAGTAGTATGTCACACCCACCTGAGGTCGTGGAAGATCACCTGGATCCGGAAGAACTTGTCTGAGTTGTATCCCTGGAAGTGGAAGCGATGGTTGGGATCCAGGTGCTCCCAGAGCAGCTCCATGACGGTGTCAACGATCACCTTGATCACATTCCCTTCCTCAATCAGCTGCCTGGCCTGAACAGAGGGAGAAGGATACAGTGGTATGTGAGCTAAGCCTGGCAGATTTTATTTTTTAAATCTTCACATTACATAAATCGCCATAGCTCTCACCAGAGTGGGTACGGTGAAGATCTGCACAGATAGAGCTGTGATGGATATGCTCCTCTCATGGTCATCAAGGATGTAGTCTTTCTGCAGTTGTTTGTAATGCTGAAAGACAGTGACGGCAGAAGGGTGGGATGTACAGCATATGTTAGCCACATAAATGTAATGTAAAGGTTGCATTTATTTTAAACATATCAGTGTACTACTGACTTGACATACCTTGGTGAACTCAATGGCAAAGAGCCTCTTGTACTCTGTCTCCATCAGCAGGCTACAGAAGATCAACTCATGGATGATCTTACGGGCTCCTGGTGGAAAGAAGAGAATGGGCTTGAATGTGATGGACTGGAGGCAAAACAGAGGTGCATCTTAAAGTAGAGAAAGATTGATCCATACTCCCAGGTCTACTTGCCTTTGTACAGCCTGGCGTCGTGCAGCATGAGTCGGCTGATGAGGCTGGGCTGGTCCCCCTCTGAGCTGGGCTCCAGAGCCACCTGGCAGAACACCTGCCTGAAGCCCACTGAGTAGCCGATGATCTGCGGAAACCAGGTGCCCAGTCGCATGGCGAAGCTCTGGTGGGCCATGACCGCTGAGTGGAGGATCTCCACACGCAGGGGCTGCAGGGAGATGTGTTCTGAGTGGGACTAAAAGCACAACACAGAATACTGCAGGGGTTAGAGGTCAGAGGCTGCAGGGAGATGTAGTCCAAAGTGGGACTACAACACAACACAGCGTTTAGCAGGGGTAAGAGGTCTGACTCAAAACACTGGAGGTGATGAAGTTCTATGGCAAAATTTGCATATTGTAGTTTTATAAAAGGCTATAATTTACCCTGATGAGGTCCTTGGCTTGTTGGCAAGACCGGAGCTTCCCTCGCTTCACTGCCCGGCGACCCTGCATTCAAAACAGAATGATCAATTTCAAGTGCAAAGCTATAACAACAACCAGAGTTCAACGTTGCAGCAGAATACATTTGTTTTCAGTTTTTTCCCTTTATTGACAAATCTAGATGCTTTAAATGAAAGTAATGAAGAATGCCGGAGAATGACTGCAGACAGTACCTCTTTGTCAATGAGGGCTGTGTGAGTATGTGCCTCACTGTGGTCACACTGAACAGAGCGCTGAAGGGTGTAGATCACGTGATCATATGAGTGGTGCTCATCGTTGTACAGTACACAGTAGTATGTGTCCTCCTTCACCCTATGAGAAATCACATTGAATGTCATTCTGGATTTAAAACTACTGGTGTAGTGTGGATACGTTTAGTGCTATGGTTATCAATAGAAGTAGGCTAGTACCTGGGCTGCAGTTCTGCTGCTAGCTCATAGCTCTCCTCCCACACCAGCAGATCTGTAGCGTAGCGCAGGAGAACCTGGAAGAGCTTCTGGGCACGCTCACGTAAACCAGGCTCTAACACACACTCATCCTACAGAGACCAAAAGTATGCATTATCAGTCACACGAATTTTGTACATTTACATTTGAGTCATTTAGGAGATGCTCTTAACCAGAGTGACTTACAGGAGAAATTAGGGTTAAGTGCCTTGCTCAAGGGAACAGACAGATTTTTCACCTAGTCGGCTCTGGGATTCAAACCAGCATCCTTTCGGTTACCGGCCCAACGCTCTTAACTGCTAGGCTAGCTGCCGCCCTATGGTATGGTGCCATCTGATACACACAATTACGTCTTGCACATGTACCACCCTATAAAATCTGTTATTCTTTCCCCACTTTTCTCCAGGTTTCAGATTTCATTATTTTCACTCTCAAAATCAGTTTTAAATAGAAAAACAACAAAATTGGTCTCCCCCACCAATTTGTGCACATTCATTGTTTCATAACTTCATTGTGTGAATTGTTTGCGTTTGATTGTTAGTGTATATCAATTCCCCTTTACATATATCACCAGTAGCACATTTACCGTTAATTCCTATCATTTCTAATCTACAAAGTTTGTTACTTTGGTTACAGTCATTTCTGTTAATGCATTCAATATTATTCCAGTCTTCCGTTATCATTGTCGGAGTGGACACATTGTTTGTACATTTTTACATTTTAGTCATTTAGCAGACGCTCTTATCCAGAGCGACTTACAGTTAGTGAGTGCATACATTTTTTATTGTTCATACTGTAGAGTGCACAAACTAAGCTACACTTGTGAGAAACACGTTTTGGTTTATTTAATTCCATTTATGAGTTTTGTCAATTTAGTAATTGTCTTTTGTTTCGAGCAATGTTGAGTAAGGACGCGCACGCATAGAAGTAGGCCTATAGGCTACCTGGCCTGCGTGCAAATGTCGCCATATACAGTGCATTCGGAAAGTATTCAGACCCCTTGACTTTCTCCACATTTTGTTGCGTTACAGCCTTATTCTACAATGGATTAAATGAATTTACACACAATACCTCATAATGACAAAGCGAAAACAGGTTTTTATAAATTTTTGCAATGTATTAAAAATAAAACACAGAAATAGCTTATAAGTATTCAGACCCTTTCCTATGAGACTCGAATTGAGCTCAGGTGCATCCTGTTTCCATTGATCATCCTTGAGATGTTTCCACAACTTGATTGGAGTCCACCTGTGGTAAATTCAATTGATTGGACATGATTTGGAAAGGCACACACCTGTCTATATAAAAGGTCCCACAGTTGACAGTGCATGTCAGAGCAAAAACCAAGCCATGAGATCAAAGGAATTGTCCGTAGAGCTCCGAGACAGGATTGTGTCGAGGCACAGATCTGGGGAAGGGTACCAAAACACTTCTGCAGCATTGAAGGTCCCCAAGAACACAATGGGCTCCATCATTCTTAAATGGAAGAAGTTGGGAACCACCAAGACTCTTCCTAGAGCTGGCACCCCGGCCAAACTGAGCAACCAGGGGAGAAGGGCCTTGGTCAGGGACTGGCTTCGGGACAAGTCTCTGAATGTCCTTGAGTGGCTCAGCCACTACGCAGCTTCAGTGAGCTCCTGCCCAAGTCAAGCACTGCTTCTTATCCATTGAGCAAATAGCCTACAGCTGTGTCTGTCCCGAGCTCACTGGCGCAGGAAACTCTGAGGACCCAGAATTTTTATATATAGGCTATTTTTACGTAGTTGGCAATGGAAGTTACTTTTTAAAGTTATCATTTTCATTTAGATTTGGATTAACCACATGACAATGATTTTGAGATATGAAGACGTTATTTTAAAATAAATGAAACGGTTTCACGAAAATGTGCATATGAAAACCATAACTGGCACGCAGATCCGTAGAAATGGTAAGATAAATTGGCATTCAACATGAGAAAGGTTGCCGACTCCTCGTGTAGCCTATTACCGGAAACTTCAGGAGAGTAATGGCAGAATCTGCAAAAGTCAGCAGGAGCGGGAGGAGAATAGTTGGGTCAGGTGAAGGTTTTATTCTTCTGGTTATCTAGATCTCTGGTGCCCTCGAGGCATTTGTATTATTTCAACAAACCGTAAGCTTAAAGCATCAGACAAGCTCAATGCAAATAGTTGATTTTATTACAACACATAGGGTGTATCTATATATGGAAAAAGACACGTTTAAAAATGTTGACTAATCGATTGGTCGAAAGAACAGACGACTTTCGGTCGACCAAGATTTATTTTTAGTTCCATAATCCTAGCACGCAATGATTACATCAAGCTTGTGACTCTACAAACTTGTTGGATGCATTTGGTGTTTGTTTTGGTAGTGTTCCAGATTATTTTGTGCCCAATAGAAATCAATGGTAAATAATATAGTGTCATTCGAGTCACTTTTATTGTAAATAAGAATATAATATGTTTAGTGATGGTGAGAGGTTAGCATGTCTTGGCGGTATGACATTTGTGCTTCTGTAACTTTCTCTCATCATTATTCACGATTCATTCAGGACTATCCGTAATCCGGCGGTAGGCTACGTGTTACATGTTTTCAAGGCTATTCCTTCCTATTCCATCTGCAGTCTATGGCTGCCTGAATAAATAATTCACTTTAGGTTATTTAATAACTCAATGGTCAAATAGGAAATCGGAACGAATGTAATTAATTAATTAATTTATAAGTGCTGCGCTTATAGCACAATATATTTTGATGATCAAGTTAAAAATGAATGCTTGTTCATATGTAGGTGTAATAATCCTATCTATTATCATATGTATAACAATGTATATTTGTTTCATTTGGTTTTGTATTCAGTTAGCACAGTATGTATTAATTCATATGATCTCATTTTAGAAGTGATGTTCTCTACCCTGACACCCAAGAAGACTCAAGGCTGTAATCACTGGCAAAGGTGCTTCAACAAAGTACTGAGTAAAGGGTCTGAATACTTATGTAAATGTCATATTTAAATATACACTACCTGTCAAAAGTTTTAGAACACCTACTCATTCAAGGGTTTTTCTATATTTTTACTATTTTCTACATTGTAGAATAATAGTGAAGACATCACAACTATGAAATAACACATATGGAATCATGTAGTAACCAAAAAAAAGTGTTAAACAAATCAAAATATATAGTTTATATTCTTCAAATAGCCACCCTTTGCCTTGATTACAACTTTGCACACTCTTGGCATTCTCTCAACCAGCTTGTTCTAAAACTTTTGACCGGTAGTGTTTATAGATTTTTTTTTTTTATATACATTTGCTTTGTTATTATGGAGTATTTTGTGTAGATTGATGAAGGGAAAAAACTATTTAATCCACTTTTAGAATAAGGCTGTAACATAACAAATTGTGGAAAAAGTAAAGGGGTCTGAATACTTTCTGAATGTACTGTAAGACCACAATAAGCAGTGTACAGACTATCAAAAAGAACACAAACGTTAGATATTCAACACATAGGCAAAATAACACATAGGCAGAGCTACAGTCAGTGGGTCTGTTTATCCATTCTAGACACCATGTCATACTACCATGTCAAAACAGGGGATAGAATCTATCACTAGACATTAGGCCTTAAAGCTTTCTTGTTTGAAACCCAGACGGTGTTGTCATGTGATGAGTCACTAAAAAGCAGCCTACAGGGCAGCGGCCAGCCTTCAATAGAGGCACCTGCTGTTTATGGAAAGAGGCAATGAAACACATGGGCCTTATGTGTTTGCTCACCACTCCTGAACTTGATATTATCAGAGGAAGGCCCACACCTGGGCTGGGCTGCATTCAAGACTGCAGGTCCTAAGTAATCAGTACTCAACCACTTTTGTTGCATGACTGTTCACCACACTGTTCAATGACTTGAATGCCCCTCCATTTAGGCCTATTCATAATTGTTTCTTATCAAGGTTATCAGCAAAAACCATTCCACGTTGATATGGAAACATTGTTGATGGATGATATAACATAACATAATTGGACCAAATTAAAAAGAACGTCACTAGCCAGCCTTTATCTCCTGCCCTTATTTTCCATAAGGCCTCGCTGCAACCACCCACCCTCTGTCTCTGTCATTCCAGCTCTAATTCGTTTTGTGATGCAGGCTGCCCAAGTGTAATTTTCCCAGACACTTTCTTGTTGAAGGCCAAAAGCGCATTCTCCAACTCAAGACAGGAAAAGGAGCACACTGACGTCATCAACACAGAATGGGAAAATAAAATAAAATGTGAACCCCCCGCCCCCTCTTCCGGCTGTTATGAAACGCACCGTTTCCATGGCAGTGGCAGCCCCTGGGTCATGTTTGGAGCAGCAGGGCCCAGTCTTCCAGGCCTCCAGATCCCCACAGTCACAGAACCCCCCTCCTGATGAAGCGTGCATCTATAAGAATCACACAACATCGAGGATCAGTAATGGACAGGGACAGCAGGAGAGATTTCATGAGATGTTATCAACACTTATATTAACACTAAACCCTTCCAAAACAACATACGTTTTAAATGGGAACCTACTTTATAACGATGGCCCTTGTGCACACTGTCCTGGAAGCAGTCCATGCACAGTACGCATGTGGGATCTATCGCACAGTCCCTGCAATCAGGCCCACAGGAGGTTAGAGTCGTAATTTGATCACACTCATCTCTATAGTTGGCTTGAAAACATGCACACATGCACAGTCACACACTAAAACCTGATACAGAGTTCACTTAATTATTCATTACAGCCAGTTAGGCTAAGTACTGTAGTGTTGTAGTGTGTGAGGTGACCAAAAGGTAGGCCTATTAGCTAATTCTAAAACTGCAGTTTTGGCAAATCAAGCCTAAATAACTATTTTGATGTATTTACATAGATCTTTGAACCACATTATTAGTCGAGTTAAGAGAAGGAAAAAAATAAGAATAATCACCTTCAGAGCTTATATCTAATCGGGTTGCTAAAAAGGTCATCGCCTTACAGTACATTCATTCGGTCAACAGATTCTTCATATTTCTGTTTCTTGACATTCCATCGCCTTACAACTACTGACTGAGTTGGTTCAGGAGTTATGAAACCTCTGTCTGATTAGCAGGTGTCTTAATTAGCATTAATGCATGACAATCAGTAAGCTGGTTCTGACCTGCAGGAGTAGACAGTCTCCCCCTCCTTGAAGACACGTCCACAGAGCTGTGAGGCGGCACTGCCCTGCTGGAGCTTCTCCAGGCCGGCCTGAGGGTCCTCCCCGAACAGGAAACACTCCAGTGGCTGGAGGAGACGGCTCTGCACCACCTCCTCCTCCTCCTGAGAGTTGGACTCCACCTCCAGGCAGTAGATCTGTGGCACCTGCTCCACCACGAAGCGGAGCATCTCTGCCCCGCAGTCCGCAGCATCCCACCATCTCTGCAAGACATGGGAGGGAGAAGAGCAACATCCGGGTTAAATACACACCACACAAGACTCTCTACTTGAGGCAGCATAATATATATATAGATGATAGTACATCAAAAGGAGGTCTTGAACCGCTTTCTTCTTAAATGATCAGAATATGTTTTTTATAGTGTTCTGACTAAAAGCATTTACCCTAGCAAGCTCAAATTAAAACAAACACTTTTTTTAAATAGGCAGGGTTAAGCCATAATTATGACTTTGTGGCTGTGGTAACTAGTGACGACAGCGGCGAGATGGTCAGGGCTTGAAGGGATACAGCTTGTCAAATAGATAACTAGCGAGCTAAAACGTTAGCTAATTAACGTTTGCTAAGCTAACGTTAAAGTCACAGATCCTGACAACCAAGATTATCCGTTGCTGTGTGACAACGTAGTTAGCTAACTAACTAGCACCAAGAACATCCTAGCTGTGTGAACACAGTATAATTCAATTACCAGATATATCTTAACTAACTAGCTAGCTAGCTAGATAATGTGATGCCCACCAAAATAGTATTCTTGCAACATTAGCTAGCTACAGTAGCTAGTAAATGTTGCTAGCAGGTTAGCAAACTGGCTAGGGGTGCGTAGAAGAGCGTCCACCAAGTAAAACGGGAACTCAAATATCGTGTAAAACCATATCAACAGTAAAATATAAGTTAGATCAAGATAAGAAAATACGCGTGCAATCTATACAAATTACATTTAAAGCATACCTTACTGAGCTCCAGCCCGTTTAACGATTTTTCACCTTCCGCCATATTCCATTTGCCGTAAAACTGTTGATGCCAGGGAGTGAGACGTTCTGGAGTTATTTTTGCGACTGTCCTCGACCTCGCCTAGTCATGGCTAGAAGGGATCCAGCTTTTGTGAAATTAACGTCCAATTTGACTTTTCGTAGCAGGTTAGGAGAACTTACGCTGCAGGTTAGGAAAATTAACGTAGCGGGTTAGGGTTAGCTAAAATGCAAAACCTTTCAACGTTTGACGTTAATTTGACAAACGCTGTATTCCTTCTAGCCATGACCACCTCGCCGCTGTCGTCACTACTTACCACAGCCACAAAGTCATAATTATGGCTAAACCCCGCCTATTTAAAAACAATTGTCTTCTTAAAATCAGATTTTAAACTTAACCTTAACCTTAAATTAAGACCAAAAAACACATTTTTTGCTTTCATGAAATGTTACTATATCTTTAGCCATTTTGACTTTGTGTCTGTGGTAACTAACTTAGTGACAACCCATCGGCTCTTAAACTTTGCAATGAAAATAAATGCTAACTAGATATAATACACAGATAGTATTCATGAATCTGATTTTACACTAAGACGTTTATATTATTGTTACTTCATAGCTATCTGTATTGCAAAACTCTAGCCAGCTAGCTAATTTGACAAGTGTCAACAATAACAAACGAATACTGCGAGTTGATTGGTTGTTTCGTCCTGAACCCAGCAGGGTCGAAGGTCAGAGCACATTCTTTGGTCAGAGTATGACGTTTAGCAGGACAATTAAACATGGAGTCCATCTTTCATGAGAAAGTAAGCTTGGCTGTTTTCTTTCGATTATTAAGTTCACCTTATGTGCATTCCGACCGTTTTAAAATAACTATGTTTGCTAGCTAGCTAAATTGCACTAATTTACAGCTCAAGTATCTTGAGGGATTTGCCTTCTTGCTAGCCAGCTTTATAAATTATAGCTAGCTAGCTAGTTAGCTGAGTTATCTTTTTGTCCCAGTTTCCAACTTGTCTCAACTTTTACTAGAGCTGGCTAGGTAACTTGATAACGTTAAATGTAAGTTAGCTAATTACAAAATGCGCCCTCAGTGCTTTGAACTGCTATAAGTGTGTGAATTAGCTAGCTAGTTACATGGCCTATTTATAGCTAGCTAGCTATAGTTTGCGTCGTTTCACTGGCGTAACTTCTGTAAATTAGCTGGCTAGCTAGTTAATAAACTAGCTAAGTTACCTAGTTAGTTAATAAACTAGGTTACCTATCTAGTTACAGTAGCTGCTGTTGACACATGTTCTATCAGTCTGTGGTACAAGTTTGATTTATTCATTCATTCTCATTTACAGCAAGAGGGCTCCCTATGTGCTCAGCATTGCCTTAACAACCTTCTGCAAGGCGAGTATTTCACACCCGTGGACCTATCGTCTATCGCCCATCAACTGGATGAAGAGGAAAGAATGAGGATGGCGGAGGGTGGTATGGGGAGTGAGGAGTACAGAACCTTTTTACAGGTATGGGAAGGGTCTGGGGTTTGTTATACAGTAGTTGTTTATTAGTAGCTGTTAGAATGTTAATGCTCTTTATTTGTATGTATTTGCAGCAACCATCTGGTAACATGGATGATAGTGGTTTCTTTTCTATACAAGTGAGTAACAATTTATTTTAATTTCACCTTTATTTAACCAGGTAAGCCAGTTGAGAACAAGTTCTCATTTACAACTGCGACCTGGCCAAGATAAAGCAAAGCAGTGCGATAACAACAACAACACAGAGTTACATATGGGGTAAAACAAAACAAAGTCAAAAATACAACAGAAAATATATATACAGTGTGTTCAAATGTAGCAAGTTATGGAGGTAAGGCAATAAATAGGCCATAGTGCAAAATAATTACAATTAGTAGTAACACTGGAATGATAGATGTGCAAGAGATTATGTGCAAATAGAGATACTGGGGTGCAAATGACCAAAATAAATAACAATATAGGGATGAGGTATGGGGGGGCATGGGCAAGTTGCAGCGGAGGGTGCAGAGCTGGTGACCGGGGTAGTGGTAGCCAGGTGGAAAGCATGGCCAGCCGTAGCAAAATGCTTGTTGAAATTCTCGATTATTGTAGATTTATCGGTGGTGATAGTGTTTCCTTGCCTCAGTGCAGTGGGCAGCTGGGAGGAGGTGCTCTTATTCTCCATGGACTTTAGTGTCCCAAAACTTTTTGGAGTTAGTGCTACAGGATGCACATTTCTGTTTGAAAAAGCTAGCCTTTGCTTGTGTATATTGGTTCCTAACTTCCCTGAAAAGTTGCATATCGCGGGGGTTATTCGATGCTAATGCAGTACACCACAGGATGTTTTTGTGCTGGTCAAGGGCAGTCATGTCTGAGGAGAACCAGGGGCTATATCTGTTCTTAGTTCTGAATAATTTGAATGGGGCATGCTTATTTAAGATTGAGAGGAAAGCACTTTTAAAGAACAACCAGGCATCCTCTACTGACGGAATGAGATCGATATCCATCCAGGATACCTGGGCCAGGTCAATTAGGAAGGCCTGCTCGCTAAAGTGTTTTAGGGAGCGTTTGACAGTGATGAGGGGTGGTCGTTTGACCGCGGACCCGTTACGGACGCAGGCAATAAGGCAGTGATCACTGAGATCCTGGTTGAAGACAGCAGAGGTGTATTTAGAGGGTAAGTTAGTCAGGATGATATCTATAAGGGTGCCCATGTTTACGGATTTAGGGTTGTACCTGGTAGGTTCCTTGACAATTTGTGTGAGATTGAGGGCATCTAGTTTGGATTGTAGGATGGTCGGGGTGTTAAGCATATCCCAGTTTAGGTCACCAAGCAGTACGAACTCTGAGGATAGATGGGGGGCAACAATTCACATATGGTGTCCAGGGCACAGCTGGGGGCTGAGGGGGGTCTGTAGCAAGCGGCAACAGTGAGAGACTTATTTCTGGAAAGTTTGATTTTTAGAAGTAGGAGCTCAAACTGTTTGGGCACAGACCTGGATAGTATGATAGAGCTCTACAGTAGATTGCAACTCCACCCCCTTTGGCAGTTCTATCTAGATGGAAAATGTTGTAGTTGGGGATGGAAATGTCTGAATTTTTGGTGGCCTTCCTAAGCCAGGATTCAGACACTGCAAGAACATCAGGGTTGGCGGAGTGTGCTAACGCAGTGAATAACTCAAACTTAGGAAGTAGACTTCTGATATTAACATGCAAAAAACAATGCTTTTACGGTTACAGAAGTCAACAAATGATAGCTCCTGGGGAGTAGGAGTGATACTGGGGGCTGCAGGGCCTGGGTTAACCTCTACATCACCAGAGGAACAGAGGAGGACTAGAATAAGGATATGGCTAAAGGCTTTAAGAACTGGTCTTCTAGTGCGTTGGGTACAGAGAATAAAGGGGGCAGATTTCCGGGTGTTGTAGAATAGATTCAGGGCATTATGTGCAGACAAGGATATGGAAGGATATGAGTACAGTGGAGGTAAACCTAAGCGTTGGGTAACAATGAAAGAGAGAGCATCACTGGAGGCACCGATTGAGCCGGTCTCCGTGTGTATGGGGGGTGGAACAAAGGAACTATTTGAGGCAGTTTGAGAGGGACTTGGGGCTCTACAGTGAAATTGTATAATAAGAACTAACTGGAACAGCAATAGGCAAGGCATATTGACATGGGAGAGAGGCATAAAGCAATCACAGGTGTTATTCGAGAGCGCTAAGACAACAACTGGTAATGGCGATGAAAGTTTGGGTTGAGGCTAAACAGATAAACAGGACAGGGTACTGTGTAAAGGAACAGTCCAGCAGGCATCAGCTGTGCAGCTGAGTGATCATAGGGTCCAGTGAACAGCAATATGTGAGTCCGAGAGCAGTTCGAATTGGTGCTACAGCACAGGCTAGCAGGAAGCACGGCTGTTGTTTGCGTGTGCTAGCGGGCCGGGGCTAGCAGATGGATCTTCGTGGTCATCGCAACAGGAAGCCTGTTGAAACCACAGACGATTACGTCAGCAGACCAGTCGTGATGGATCGGCGGGGCTCCGTGTCGACTCTAGGAGGTCTCGTCCGATTGACAGAGAGGTAGATGGGCCTGACTCGAGGCTAGCTCAAGGCTGATTAGCCAACAACAACATCCATTTGGTTGCAGCTAGCTAGTTGCGATGATCCGGTGTTAAAGGTCCACTGATTCAGTGATTCCGACAGAAAAACTGATATGTTCTGGGTCGATAATGCGCTGTGCAGACAGTGCAGACTGGCCGATAATAGTCCAGGCTAGAGCTGGCTGGTAGGTAGTGCAGGCCACGGACAATGGTGAAAAACCGCTAACGGTGGCTAATAGCAAGTAGCTAGTTAGCTGGCTACTCCCGTCCGGTAGACAGAGAGGTAGATAGCCGGGATATGAGCCTGGCTCGAGGCTAGCTCAAGGCTAACTGATGCTTGCTTCGGGGGCAGTGGTGATTAGCCAACAGCAACATCCATTCGTTGGCAGCTAGCTAGTTGCGATCCAGTGTTATTGTCCAGTGATTCAGTTATAACGGCAGAAAATCCGATGTTCTGGGTGAAAACCGCTAACGGTGGCTAATAGCAAGTAGCTAGTTAGCTGGCTAGCTAGTTTCAACTGGAGATTCTAGATAAAAGGTAAGTAAATAATAGAATCCGTTCCACATTGAGTGAGGCGGGTTGCAGGAAAGTATATTTAGTAGAAGGATGAAAAGTGTGATAGGGAAATATGTACGAAAAACAGGCTATTTACACGGACACACACAGAGTACACGACCGCACTGCTACGCCATCTTGGTTCAGATGGCGAACTGTCATGCATTATAAGGTGAAATAAATGAAATAATGTATTGTGATCCTCATGATAACACTGTGTGTGTGTGTATATACACGCACACACTACCGGTCAAGTTTTAGAACGCCTACTCATTCAAGGGTTTTTCTTTACTTTTACTATTTTCTACATTGTAGAATAGTAGTGAAGACATCAAAACTATGAAATAACACATATAGTAACCAAAAAAGTGTTAAACAAATCAAAATACATTTTATATTTGAGATTCTTCAAATAGCCAACCTTCTCCTTGATTACAGCTTTGCACACTCTTGGCATTCTCTCAACCAGCTTCACCTGGAATGCTTTTCCAAAAGTCTTGAAGGAGTTCCCACATATGCTGAGCACTTGTTGGCTGCTTTTCCTTCACTCTGCGGTCTGACTCATCCCAAACTATCTCAATTTGGTTGTGGAGGCCAGGTCATCTGATGCAGCACTCCATCACTCTCCTTCTTGGTAAAATAGTCCTTACACAGCCTGGAGGTGTGTTGGGTCACTGTCCTGTTGAAACAAATTATAGTCCCACTAAGCCCAAACCAGATGGGATGGCGTATCGCTGCAGAATGCTGTGGTAGCCATGCTGGTTAAGTGTGCCTTGAATTCTAAATAAATCACAGACAGTGTCACCAGCAAAGCACCCCCACACCATAATACCACCTCCTCCATGCTTTACAGTGGGAAATACACATGCAGAGATCATCCGTTCACCCACACCGCGTCTCACAAAGACACAGCAGTTGGAACCAAAAATCTCCAATTTGGACTCCAGACCAAAGGACACATTTCCACTGGTCTAATGTCCATTGCTCGTGTTTCTTGGCGCAAGCAAGTCTCTTCTTCTTATTGGTGTCCTTAAGTAGTGGTTTCTTTGCATCAATTCGACCATGAAGGCCTGATTCACACAGTCTCCTCTGAACAGTTGATGTTGAGATGTGTCTGTTACTTGAACTCTGTGAAGCAATTTCTGAGGCTGGTAACTCTAATGAACTTATCCTCTACAGCAGAGGTAACTCTGGGTCTTCCATTCCTGTGACGGTCCTCATGAGAGCCAGTTTCATCATAGCGCTTGATGTTTTTTGCGACTGCACTTGAAGAAACTTCAAAAGTTCTTGAAAATGTCCGTATTGACTGACCTTCGTGTGTGTGTGTATATATATAAAAATCGCACTCTAAATATGCTCCCAACAATTTAATGGGTAAATCTAACCAACGTTTCGGCACGCAGTGCCTTCTTCAGGGTTACATAATGAATGCTTGAACCAGGTTAGTGCAATTAGTGCAACAAATCAAATCTTATTTGTCACATGCGCCAAATACAATAGGGGTATATCTTACCGTGAAATGCTTACTTACAAGCCCTTAACCAACAATGCAGTTCAAGAAATGGAGTTAAGAAAATATTTACTAAATAAACTAAAGTAAAAAATTAAAAGTAACACAATAAAATAACAATAATGAGGCTATATACTGGGGGTACCGGTACCAAGTCAATGTGTGGGGGTACGGGTTAGACGAGGTAGTTTGTACATGTAGGTAGGGGTAAAGTGACTATGCATACATAATAAACAGCGTGTAGCAGCAGTGTAAAAACAGTGCAATGTAAATAGTCCAGGTGGCCATTTGATTAATTGTTCAGCAGTCTTATGGCTTGGGGGTAGAAGCTGTTAAGGAGCCTTTTGGACCTAGACTTGGCGCTCCGGTACCGCTTGCCGTGCGATAACAGAGAGAACAGACTATGACTTAGGTGACTGGAGTCTTTGACTAGTTTTTGGCCCTTCCTCTGACACCGCCTAGTATATAGGTCCTGGATGGCAGGAAGCTTGGCCCCAGTGATGTACCGGGCCATACGCACTACCCTCTGTAGTGCCTTACGCTCAGATGCCGAGCAGTTGCCATACCAGTCAGTGATGACACCGGTCAGGATGCTCTTGATGGTGCAGCTGTAAAACTTTTTGAGGATCTGGGGACCAATGCCAAATCTTTTCAGTCTCCTGAGGGGGAAAAGGTGTTGTCATGCCCTCTTCACGACTTTCTTGGTGTGTTTGGACCATGGTAGTTTGTTGGTGATGTGGAAACCAAGGAACTTGAAACGCTCAACCTGCTCCACTACATCCCTGTCAATGTGAATGGGGGCGTGTTTGGCCTTCCTTTTCCTGTAATCCACGATCAGCTCCTTTGTCTTGCTCACGTTGAGGGAGAGGTTGTTATCCTGGCACCACACTGCCGGGTCTCTGACCTCCTCCCAATGAACATTGTGAGGGGTGTGTCATAGTAATTGGGGTAGTGAGGGATGGAAAATAAAAAATGAACTGTTAAAAAAACAGTTTACAATATGTCAAGATTACCTCATAACACTGACAACTCTATTCTGTGATGTCTCCATTAGGTTATCAGCAATGCATTATCAGTGTGGGGTTTGGAGCTGATCCTCTTCAACAGCCGGGAGTACCAGAGCCTTATGATAAACCCAATGTAAGAACCATGTGGATGTGATACAAATCTTCATAATCTGTGTATGATGTTGTTTTGTTTTCTACCTTGAAATTTCACTTTTCACACATTTTTCATATGGTCTATCTATATCTTCTTGGCACATCCCTTAAAATTTGAAATAATGTCCTCTCCTGTTTCAGAAATGAAAAGGCATTCATATGCAACTACAAGGAGCACTGGTTTACAATACGAAAACTTGGGCAACAGGTATAAGTTGAGATTTTACTATTTATAATGATTTCCCTTCAGACATTTTGGCCCAGTTGATATAGCCTGCTGATTTAACCCTATTTGTCAATGCAGTGGTTTAATTTGAATTCATTGTTGACTGGACCAGAGCTGATATCAGACACATACCTAGCCCTCTTCCTTGCACAGTTACAACAAGAAGGTAAAACAACCTGACATATGTGATTCTTTTATTTGATTGTTTACCTTTTTGTGCTGTTGATTTCTCAGAGTTAGCTAGTTGGTCAAAGGCCTGTCTTCTTGCAGGGTATTCCATATTTGTGATCCGAGGAAATCTCCCGGAGTGTGACGCAGAGCAGATTCTGGGGATCATGAAGGTGCAGCAGCAACAGAGACCCAAGCTGATTGGAGAGGACGAGGCTCAGTCGAGTAGTGGCATGGGGTAAGAGGAAGATGCCTACAGAGAGAGAGTAGGTTTCGCCAAACCACAAATTACCACCATTCCCTCATACTGTCAGATTCATGTATCATCTTGAACTTAAACCTCTAGAGTTATTTGTAGTTGGTAAGGGGAGAGAATTAACCCCTATGATGAATCCCTTTGTGACACTGACAATGCTTTTCACTCTGAGCAGCAGATCATCAGGGCAGGGTAGTGTGCTGGAGACAGGCCCTGGTGTGGTAGAGGGGGTGGTGGATGAGGATGAGGAGGAGCTGAGGAAGGCCCTGGCCCTGAGTAGACAGGGCATGGAGGTGGAGGATGAAGAGGCTGACCTTCGCAGGGCCATACAGCTCAGCATGCAGGGTAAGGCTTTATTGGGTAAGCAACAGTAATAAAATCACACATCACACACAACCGCTTTATGATACATATCCTGGTTTAGACCTGTGTATATAAACAGACTGCTAACATATTCATTATGCAATTTGCACCATGTATGGCAATGTGATAAAAGTATCCCCAAACTAACACTAAAATTAGTAATTTGTCTGTCTCTGCCTAGGGGCAGTAATGAGCAATACGTCAAAGCCAAAAGGGGGACTTGTTGCTAAAACGACATCGTCCGGCCAGGCACCAGGGAGTACTACAGGAGGAGCACCTCCGAGTGAGAAACTCTCAGCTGAGGAACTGCGAAGGAGGAGACAAGCCTACTTTGACAGGTAAGCGCTGCACCATCTGGAATATTCTTCTTCTGTGCGTGTTCATGCGTGCATGGCTGTGTGTTTGTGTGGTTACAAAAAAATAACCAGACTAGACAACGCTAACCTGTAGATCCACTGTTTACCATACAGACAGTCCCAACAGCTGGCTCAGCCCACTTCACCTCAGCAACCAACAGAAAGCACAGGTAAGGGGGAAATTAGCTCATACAGTAATACTTGCATTGCTGAATAATAATAGGTTGAGATTCAAAGAGCATTCTCCCTTCCCTCACCTTTTCCAGGATCTGGGAAGAGTGGCAAAGAGGAGGATGCACAAGCCAAATGCAGCCAGTGAGGTGGAGGGCGCTCCAGCAAAAGCCTACGTTGACTACTACCTGCCTCGACTGGTACCCCCATCATGGGGCAGCCTCACCCCCTCCTCTAACCCTTCCCATAAGCGAAGGTATAGCCGGCCAGAAGGCTGACACGCCTCCCTTGGCTAGTTCACTGACAGGTTGTAGAGAAGAGAATAACAACAAACAATAAAGAAAAGGTGCTAGTCTACTCTAACACAGAAGTGACGCTGAGGCCGGGAAGAGGGACGATAAATAATTAAAATGCAGTTATTCCAAGTCTGTGATGGCTTTTCTACCACAGCGCCTTCTATTTCTAATTTTTGTGGTTTGTTTTTTATTCCTACGCTTGTTGTTTTCCACTGGGAGGGGTCTTAATGGAGCCTACCGTGCCGAGGTGTGTTTGGTGGTGTGAGGGGTTGGATGGGCAAAATGGTGAGGTGTGTTACCAGAGAGGAAATCAAGAATTACATAGGATAATCCTCTAGCCTTCAGTATGGGAGTGCTACATGGAACCACTAGTTCAATAGAGGTAGAGGTTTGATAGAGACCATGATAGTCTCTTGCCTTCTTTCACTTGGGTCTTGTAAGAGGTCACCATTCCCCCCCCCAAAAAAAAAAATCATAAAATAATAGATTTATATTTAGTAGTGAGGTGAATTCATTTTTTGCTGTATTACTGCATCATCAAAATAAACATATTAATAAACCAGCATTTTACAGGCCTGATCCGACTTGCCCTAGCGACTTAATTAACCACCACCCTGGTTCTAAATTCCTTAGTCATACATTTTTTTTAAATTGTATTTGGTCTTTTTGAAGTAGTATAGACAAACACTTTTAATACAGTGATAAAATGATCAAGGGTGTTTACAATTATCGTATTTACATGGAATTTTCCGGTTTGGATGCACCAAATCCCTCTACATCCCATGTAGAGTTTGAGCTGTGCTCAAGTTGACTTCTCTGGTAATTCCCTGATTTCATTCCCTTTTTCTTGAAATTGTTCTTTTTTTATTCGAGAACAATTTGAACTAGAGTTGCGGTGCCACAATGCTTTTAGGTTTTTTAATGATTGCATCATTTTCACTTCTTGACATTCTTCAATAGGCACTAAACAATCTGTTTCTTATACTCCACAACACAATTTTATTACATCATTCTCTTTCATTTGCTGTATCTAAAACTTTTCTTTCCAGGAATAAAATGATATTTGCTCCAACTGAAGTCTTCAGGAATCTTGCTTCATTGATCTATAACCATGGCTGAATTGTTTAATTAAATCCTTATCCTAAATTGTTTAAGTTTAATAATTTCCACCTTTCAAAGTGGGTACATGAATTGTCAGTACCAAATTTACTTTCATTTGGAAATAAACTAAAATAAGACTTTACCAGTTTGAGTAAACCTAACCCATGGTTAATAGTTAACCCTAAAGGCACACTTGCACTTTGTATCCCCAAATAGTAGATGGAAGGTTTTGACAAAATACCTTGCTGATACCCAAGCTGAAAGGTAGGTCTGTTTTTGAGAAGTATGCAACTATTTGTAAGAATAAATCACATTTTTATTTGTCACATGCGCCGAATACAACCGGTGTAGACCTTACAGTGAAATGCTTACTTACAAGCCCTTAACCAACAATGCAGTTTTAAGAAAGAATACCAAAAGAAATCACAAAAAAATACAATATGAAATAAAAGTAACAAATAATATATGTATATACAGTATTATATAAGATATACAGTGTTGCTTTCATTGTTGACATGTGATAATCTTACTTATTTGGAGTTGTGATGTTGAAGTCCCCCAAATAGCTAACCAAATTAGCTGACAATCGTTCTGAAATTACTAAATTGAAAGTTTTTCATTTTTCTGTCTGTGTACTTTTTGTATGCGCTCTGATACAATGCATTGATTTAAGTCATTGATCACATAACCAATCTCTTGCCATTTGTCCAGAAGACTTGTAAACATGACATACTGTAAAGTCCAAAAGTATTTGAACAGTGACACATTTGTTGTTGTTTTGGCTCTGTACTCCAGCATTTAAGACTATGAGGTTAAAGTGCAGACTGTCAGCTTTAATTTGAGGGTATTTTCATCCATATTGGGTGAACCGTTTAGAAATTACAGCACTTTTTGTACATAGTCCCCCCATTTTAGGGAACCAAAAGTATTTGGACAAATTGTGTATTAAAGTAGTCAAAGGTTTAGTATTTGGTTCCATATTCCTAGCACGCAATGACTACATCAAGTTTGTGACTACAAACTTGTTGGATGCATTTGCAGTGTGTTTTGGTTGTGTTTCAGATTATTTTGTGCCCAATGGAAATTAATGGTAAATAATATGTCATTTTAGAGTCAATTCTATTGTAAATAAGAATATAATATGTTTCTGAACACTTAATCCTGAAATAATTGTGAATAATGATGAGTGAGAAAGTTACAGAGGCACAAAGATCCTATCCCCAAGACATGCTAACCTCTCACCATTATCAGTAGGGCTTCTGTCACTCAACGTTATTCACGATTCATTCATGATTATCTGTAATCACGGTAGCATCCACATTAAAGTAGAAGTGTTTATAAACATATTCTATTCTTATTTACAATGAAAGTGACTCCAAAATGACAATACATTCGAGCCACCCTTGTTTCTAGGACACCATACACAAAATTAATAATTTGGCCAAATATTTAGGAAGAGGTCATTTTATGGAGTCTGTGGAAGAAAGCAAGTTAGGTAAAAAGTTAGGTAATTCAAATACATTTCATGATGCTGGTATCTAAACCAAAGTAGATCATTTTAAGATTGTTCTATACATCAGTTGGGGTCTCTATAAGCTTCAATATGAGGTCCTAAACCTAGCATGAAAGTGCATCCTTGAAGCTGTGGGCTAATACAGTGAGGGAAAAAAAGTATTTGATCCCCTGCTGATTTTGTACGTTTGCCCATTGACAAAGAAATGATCAGTCTATAATTTTAATGGTAGGTTTATTTGAATAGTGAGAGACAGAATAACAACAACAAAATCCAGAAATCCAGGTGTCTTTTATACAGGTGACGAGCTGAGATTAGGAGCACGCTCATAAAGGGAGTGCTCCTAATCTCAGTTTGTTACCTGTATAAAAGACACCTGTCCACAGAAGCAATCAATCAATCAGATTCCAAACTCTCCACCATGGCCAAGACCAAAGAGCTCTCCAAGGATGTCAGGGACAAGATTGTAGACCTACACAAGGCTGGAATGGGCTACAAGACCATCGCCAAGCAGCTTGGTGAGAAGGTGACAATAGTTGGCGTGATTATTCGAAAATGGGAGAAACACAAAATAACTGTCAGTCTCCCTCAGCCTGGGGCTCCATGCAAGATCTCACCTCGTGGAGTTGCAATGATCATGAGAACGGTGAGGAATCAGCCCAGAACTACACGGGAGGATCTTGTCAATGATCTCAAGGCAGCTGGGACCATAGTCACCAAGAAAGCAATTGGTAACACACTACGCCGTGAAGGACTGAAATCCTGCAGCGCCCGCAAGGTCCCCCTGCTCAAGAACGCACATATACAGGCCCGTCTGAAGTTTGCCAATGAACATCTGAATGATTCAGAGGAGAACTGGGTGAAAGTGTTGTGGTCAGATGAGACCTGAGATGTGTGCAAACCTGGTGGCCAACTACAAGAAACGTCTGACCTCTGTGATTGCCAACAAGGGTTTTGCCACCAAGTACTAAGGCATGTTTTGCAGAGGGGTCAAATACTTATTTCCCTCATTAAAATGCAAATCAATTTGTAACATTTTTGACATGCGTTTTTCTGGATTTTTGTTGTTGTTATTCTGTCTCTCACTGTTCAAATAAACCTACCATTAAAATTATAGACTGATAATTAATTTGTCAGTGGGCAAACATACAAAATCAGCAGGGGATCAAATACATGTTTACATGAATTCTGATTATTTCAAGGGATACAAAACATCCTGAAATATATGTAAATATATTTGTTATAAAGAATACTATATATATATATATATATATATATATATATATATATATGCTATATTTCCCTTAATGGGGTGATGCTGAATGTTAAACAAGGCTCAACTTACCCCACTCGCCCTTATTTACCATTCATTTCTATTGGGCACAAAATAATCTGAAACACAACCAAAACAAACTGCAAATGCATCCAACAAGTTTGTAGAGTCAAAATCTTGATGATGTCATTGTGCGCTAGGAATATGAGACCAAATACTACATCTTTGATTACTTTAATACACATTGTTCAAATACGTTTGGTTCCCTAAAATGGGGGGACAATGTACAAAAAGTGCTGTAATTTCTAAATGGTTCATTCATATCATTTCAATGTGCTGGAGTACAGAGCAAAAAAAAATGTCACAGTCCTAATACTTTTGGACCTCACTGTAAATACTATTGCAGGTTGGGATCGCATAACTCACCAAAGAACTATGATGATGAAGGTGGGACTCCTTTTCCTCCTGACCCATGTCTGCACCCTCACCCCTGTCTACCAAACTCAAGAGCAGAGCCCCAACATCACAGACCTGACCTTCAAGAACATGGACTTTGCCATGAATCTCTACAGGAAGATTGCTGGTTACCATGATAATAACATATTTTTCTCACCCCTGAGCATATCCACAGCTTTTGCTACCCTCTCCATGGCAGCACAGGGTCCCACACGAGACCAGATACTGAAGGGGCTCAACCTGGCCTACCTAGATCGGGACAACCAGCCAGACATAATTCCAGAGCTCTTCCAACACCTCCAAGGGAACATCACACAAGATGAATCATTGAAACTGGACCAGAGCACTGCCTTCTTTGTTTGCCTAAAGTGTGAGGTAGAGAGTGACTACCTTGACCAGATCAAGAAATTCTTCAACGCTGATATAAAAAATGTGGAATTTGCAAATACAAAAGCTAGCGTTGGCATGATCAATGATTACATAATGAGAAAGACTGATAACAAAGTCAAGGAGATGGTCTCTGACTTGGATCCACTTACCCAACTTATCCTCATCAACACCATTTTCTTTCAGGGTGAGCAGCTATGTCATGCATTCTCTGATTTGAGCAGTTCCACTGTATAACTTAATTTTTTTTACATTTGACTTGTTTACGTTTAGTTTTCACTTGTGTCTACCATAATTGCGTCCCATCAGTATATCTTATTTCAAGATGTTGTGTTTTAATACATTTCACTTTCAAAGTTAAATTACATTGCCTAAAATGCAACAATAACACTTCCCACTGGGCAAAAACTGGTTGAATCAATGTTGTTTCCATGTAATAAAAAATAAAAAGCAATGTGATGACGGTGAATCAACGTGGAAAACTGATTGGATTTCGAAAAAGGCCCTTTTTTAAAACTTAAATCTATTGGCATGGTGAATTTTTTTGTTGATTTCACATTGAATTCACGTTAGTTGACAACTCAACCAAATGTAAATCAAAACTAGACATTGAACTGACGTCTGTGCCCAGTGCGTTTTGCTTTCCAATAAATATGCTTTGTCATATTTGGAACTTAGGTGAATGGCAGATGCCCTTCAACCCCAATCACACAGAAATTCAACGCTTCTATATTGACAACTACAACATTGTCCAGGTGCCTATGATGTTTAGAATGGAGGATAAGTTCTACACAATGGAAGACTTTCCCCTGAATGCCAAGGTGCTGAAGCTGCCATACCGAAATGGTGTTTCAATGCTTATCCTGCTACCCAACAAAGGCCTGGATTATACCACAATAGATGACGAAATCACAGCTGAGAGATTCCTCAGATGGATTAAAAACCTGAAAGAAAGGTAAATAGAAAGTATATTTTGTGACGAAACACTGCAAAATTCCATAGGTTTTCTAAGAGGTGTTTTGTATTGAATACCAGTTCTTCTATGTATGAAAGTTCCTTTTTTTTAAAGGAAACTAGAAGTTCAACTGCCCAAGTTCAAGATGGAGCAATCCTACGCCATGCACAAAATCCTACCAGATTTGGGTATATCCAGAATCTTCCATGACACCGCTAACCTCACTAAATTGAGCAAAGACCCAGGCCTGAAGGTGTCAGAGGTCAGTTCTTGGATTAACAAACCAAAATTGCCTTAACCAATTTCCATCTGTATCAATTGAGAAATTTGCAATTGTATTACTCACAATAACAAATAACATTATTGCAATAATAATGTGGTTACAGGTGTTGCACAAGGCAGTGATCGAGGTGGATGAGAGAGGCACCACTGCAGCCGCTGCCACAGACAGCGGCATTATTGGATACGCCTTACCCTCTTCCTTCATCGTCAACCGACCCTTCTTCTTTTTTATCTACCATGAGGTCACTAACAGCTTGTTGTTCATGGGCCGAGTGATTGACCCCACCAAAAACGGAGTCTAATGAATACAGTGCATTTGGTGCGTGGAGAGGTGTTACATGTAATATGTTTCATTTGTATGTATTAAAGGTGAACAGATATTCATTCAACTGGTTTGGTGATCTTCCTGATACAGACTAACAGTAACAGTAACATTTCAATCCTGAGTCCTTGGATTAAAGGCATGAATCACATATTATCCTAAAATTAAGCAAATATGACCAACATTCCATAACTCAAACTCACATTCCAGCAAGAATCTCTGCTCAAGCTGAGTGGTTAACAATGACTGTATATGACCCTGGTGGTTACTAATAACGTGGCAGGAAATGTATTACAGACTACCTGGCTGTATACACGGCAGAGCTGATGGCTGGCTGTACTGTTGGCCTTGCAGTCGGTGGAGGAAATCAAGCTGGACAGAGTAGTTATTTGCTCTGACTCGTGCAGTATTGATGAGTCTGCAGTCCTTTAGCTCATGTAGCAGACAAGACCTGCTGTATGAGGTACTACAAACCCATGGCTGGGTGAGACAGATGGGTATACAGATGAGATGTACTTGGGTCCCAGCCCATGTGGGGGTGGAGGGGAACGAGGCAGCTGATGTGCTGGCTAAACAGCCTCTTAGCAGAGGAGGTGGACGTTGAATTTTCAATGAGCAAGGCAGAGGCAAAAGGCCTGATATGGACAGTGGTGGTGCAGAGATGGCAGGAGCAGTGGAATAGAGACATTAAGGGCAGGCATCTCTTACCTGCCTGGTCTCATAAACTAGACGTAACATAGTAAACGTACATCCGAGACACTCAAATTAGTATGATATGTTATGTTTGGTATGGTTACATAAGATAGAGGTTACCTAACGTGAACGTCTAGCAACCTAAAGGTTGCGTGTTCGAATCTAATCACGGACAACTTTAGCAATTTAGCTAATTAGCAACTTTGCAACTACTTACTACTTGTTAGCTAACCCTTCCCCTAACGCTAACCTTAACCCTTTAACCTATCTCCTAACCTTAACCCTTAACCTCAGCTAACGTTAGCCACCTAGCTAACGTTAGCATTAGCCATTAGCTAATGTTAGCAACAACAAATTGGAATACGTACCATACCATATGTTTAGCAAATTTGTAACATATTGTACCAATTGCAATTCGTACAATTTCATACAAAATGGATGATGGACATCCACAAACTAATACATACTATACGAAACGTAACATATCATACTGATTATAATATATAATAAATAATATGCCATTTAGCAGACGCTTTTATCCAAAGCGACTTACAGTCATGTGTGCATACATTTTTACGTATGGGAGGTCCCAGGGATCGAACCCACTACCCTGGCATTACAAGCGCCATGCTCTACCAATTGAGCTACAGAGGACCACCTGATTAGAGTGTCCCGGATTTACTTTTACTATGTTACGTCTACCCCTGAGTCAAGGTTGCTCTTCCAAATACAGAGAAAAGTCAGTGATGGGAGGAAGACAGCACAAGACAGAAGAGAGGAGGATGCCTTTACTAGACTTAGGGTGGGACACAGCCGGCTGAATAAGTCATTACATCTCAATCAATCAATCAATCAAATGTGACATCAGCAGATGTCACAAAGTGCTTTTACAGAAACCCAGCCTAAAACCCCAAACAGCAAGCAATGCAGATATAAAAGCACGGTGGCTAGGAAAAACTCCATAGAAAAAGCAGGAACGAAGGAAGTAACCTAGAGAGGAACCAGGCTCTAAGGGGTGGCCAGTCCTTTCCTGTGCCGGGTGGAGATTATAAGAGTACATGGCCATTAAGGCCAGATCGTTCTTCAAGATGTCAACAACTACAGACCAGTATCCCTTCTTTCTTTTCTCTCCAAAACTCTTGAGCGTGCCGTCTCTAGCCAACTCTCCTGTTATCTCTCTCAGAATGACCTTTTTGATCCAAACCAGTCAGGTTTCAAGACTGGTCATTCAACTGAGACTGCTCTTCTCTGTGTCACGGAGGCTCTACGCACTGCTAAAGCTAACTCTCTCTCCTCTGCTCTTATCCTTCTAGACCTATCTGCTGCCTTTGATACTGTGAACCATCAGATCCTCCTCTCCACCCTCTCCGAGTTGGACATCTCCGGCGCTGCTCACTCTTGGATTGCGTCCTACCTGACAGGTCGCTCCTACCAGGTGGCGTGGCGAGAATCGGTCTCCGCACCACGCGCTCTCACCACTGGTGTCCCCCAGGGCTCAGTTCTAGGCCCTCTCCTATTCTCTCTATACACCAAGTCACTTGGCTCTGTCATATCCTCACATGGTCTCTCCTATCATTGCTACGCAGACGACACACAATTAATTTTCTCCTTTCCCCCTTCTGATAACCAGGTGGCGAATCGCATCTCTGCATGTCTGGCAGACATATCAGTGTGGATGACGGATCACCACCTCAAGCTGAACCTCGGCAAGACGGAGCTGCTCTTCCTCCCGGGTAAGGACTGCCCGCTCCATGATCTCGCCATCACGGTTGACAACTCCATTGTGTCCTCCTCCCAGAGTGCAAAGAACCTTGGCGTGACCCTGGACAACACCCTGTCGTTCTCCGCTAACATCAAAGCGGTGACCCGATCCTGCAGGTTCATGCTCTACAACATTCGTAGAGTACGACCCTACCTTACACAGAAAGCGGCACAGGTCCTAATCCAGGCACTTGTCATCTCCCGTCTGGATTACTGCAACTTGCTGTTGGCTGGGCTCCCTGCCTGTGCCATTAAACCCCTACAACTTATCCAGAACGCCGCAGCCCGTCTGGTGTTCAACCTTCCCAAGTTCTCTCATGTCACACTGCTCCTCCGCACACTCCACTGGCTTCCAGTTGAAGCTCGCATCTACTACAAAACCATGGTGCTTGCCTACGGAGCTGTGAGGGGAATGGCACCTCCTTACCTTCAGGCTCTGATCAGACCCTACACCCAAACGAGGGCACTACGTTCATCCACCTCTGGCCTGCTAGCCCCCCTACCTCTACGGAAGCACAGTTCCCGCTCAGCCCAGTCAAAGCTATTCGCTGCTCTGGCACCCCAATGGTGGAACAAGCTCCCCCACGACGCCAGGACAGCGGAGTCACTGACCACCTTCCAGAGACACTTGAAACTCTACCTCTTTAAGGAATACCTGGAATAGTATAACAGTAATCCTTCTCTCCCCACCCCCCCCCCATTAATTTTTTTTTTTAAGGGTGGTTATCCCACTGGCTATCCTAAATTGAATGCACCAATTTGTAAGTCGCTCTGGATAAGAGCGTCTGCTAAATGACTTAAATGTTTAAATGTTCAAACGTTCATAGATGACCAGCAGGGTAAAATAATAATCACAGTGGTTGTAGAGGGTGCAACAGGTCAGCACCTCAGGAGTAAATGTCAGTTGGTTTTTCATAGCTGAGTGTTCAGAGGTCGAGACAGCAGGTGCGGTAGAGAGAGAGAGAGAGAGGGAGAGAGGGGGTTGAAAACAGCAGGTCCGGGACTAGGTAGCACGTCCGGTGAACAGGACAGGGTTCCATAGCCGCAGAGAGAACAGTTGAAACTGGAGCAGCAGCACGACAAGGTAGCATGTCTGGTGAACAGGTCAGGGTTCCATAGACACAGGCAAAACAGCAGTAGCACGACCTGGTGGACTGGGGATGGGGACATCCAGGAGTCATCAGGCCAGGTAGTCCTGAGGCATGGTCCTAGGACTCAGGTCCTCTGGGAGGGGAGAGATGGAGAGAGAGAGATGGGAGAATTAGAGGGAGCATACTTACGTTCACACAGGACACAAGACAAGACCGGAAAATGTCACCAGATAGGACAGACCGACCCTAAACTATTGCAGCATAGATACTGGAGCTGAGACAGGGGGGTCGGGGGACACTGTGGCCCTGTCTGACGATACCCCCAGACAGGGCCAACCAGGCAGGATATAACCCCACCCACTTTGTCAAAGCACAGCTCCCACACCACTAAAGGGATATCAACAGACCACCAACTTACTACCCTGAGACAAGGCTGAGTGTAGCCCACGAAGATCTCCTCCACCGCATGAGCCCGAGGGGGCGCAAAACCGAACAGGAAGAACACTTCAGTGACTCAACCCACTCAAGTCGAGTATAGCGACAAAAGCCTGTCATGGCGTGACTCACCCCTCCTAGGGACGGCATGGAAGAGCACTAGTAAGCCAGTGACTCAGTCCAACTAATAGGGTCAGAGGCAGAGAATCCCAGTGGAGAGAGGGGAGCCAGCCAGAGACAGCAAGGGTGGTTCGTCACTCCAGTGCCTTGCCGTTCACCTTCGAACCCCTGGGCCAGACTACACACAATCATAGGACCTACTGAAGAGATGAGTCTTCAGTAAAGACTTAAAGGTCGAGACCGAGTCTGCGTCTCTCACATGGATAGGCAGACCAGTCTATACAAATTGATCTCTATAGGAGAAGCCCTTCCTCCAGCTGTTTGCTGGACAATAAGGAGGCCTGCGTCTTGTGACCGTATATGTGAAGGTATGTATGGCAGGACCAAATCGGAGAGATAAGTAGGAGCAAGTCCATGTAATGCTTTGTAGGTTAGCAGTAAAACCTTAAAATCAGCTCTAGCCTTAACAGGAAGCCAGTGTAGAGAGGCTAGCACTGGAGTAAAATGATCGCATTTTGGGGTTCTAGTCAAGATTCTAGCAGCCGTATTTAGCACTAACTGAAGTTTATTTAGTGCTTTATCCAGGTAGCCGGAGAGTACAGCATTGCAGTAGTCTAATCTACAAGTGACAAAAGCATGGATCAGCTTTTCTGCATAATTTTTGGAGAAACGTTTTATAATTTTTGCAATGTTACGATAATGGAAAAAAGCTGCCCTTGAAATATTCTTGATATGTTCGTCAAAAGAGAGATCAGGGTCCAGAGTAACGCCGAGGTCCTTCACAGTTTCATTTGAGACGACTGTACAACCATCAAGATTAATTGTCAGATTAAATAGAAGATCTCTTTGTTTCTTGGGACCTAGAACTAGCATCTCTGTTTTGTCAGAGTTTAAAAGTAAAACATTTGCGGCCATCCTCTTCCTTATGTCTGAAACACACGCTTCCAGGGTAGGCAATTTTGGGGCGTCACCATGTTTCATCATAATGTACATCTGATAGGAATCATCCAACAGGAGTGATTATTGCCAGTAAATAGAAAGAGGAAACAATTTGTTGATACAGTGTGGGCAGTATGAGAGGGAGAGAGTGATTGAGAATATGTTTGAGAGAAAATGGTATACAGGATTTGAGTGTAAAGAGTTTATTGAGTAGAACATCAACAGATACAGTATCCAATATTTTGTTTTGTTTTCTTAGAGGAACGGGGCTTGCAGGTAGGATTTAGGTCCTCCCTGTCTCTGGTCCACACGCCATTCAGCACAGTAGGTGGCGGTAATGCACCAATAACTTTGGTTGCCAACCGCCGAAAAAACCCCACCGAAGAAGAACGCGATCACAACTGCAATGGCTGCGTCCTCGTGTCATGCATGAGTCCAGTCAAGTCGTGTGATTTATCAGATGAAAGTCCTGTAAGCAGTCAAAGGTAGTTTATATTTATTTGTACATCTTTTTATGCCGCTATATTTCATGGCACTGTATTGAATATGTATTAATTTGTGGTGCTGGCTGCGAGAAAAGTGTCATGTGGACAGCTATACAGTAGCTAACATAGCTACTGTAAATTAGTAGCTAGCTAACGTTACCATGCTGATGTGTTTTTCTTATCTGTCATTCTTGCTAGTTAGATTACACCTGTCAGCGTTTAGATAATGAATAGTTCCATTTTATTCAATTTGTTTTCATCAAATAGAGTACGTACCAATTCATGCGTTTAAAAAAATCATAACTAGATGATTTGCCTATTCAAAACGTCGCCAGAGATTTTAACTAACCTGGTATTGGTGATACATGTTTGGCCAAATCGAGAATGAATATAGTATCTAAAATGTCTGTCTAGTTGCAGGTGGTGCATTTAAATTTAGAAAATGTTCAGTTATTAAAATAAAATAAATGTTTTGCTCCGTGAAGTAATCCAACAATGTGTACGCCGCCATCTTATCTATTTCAAATCTTCTCTCATTTATCTAGACAGGTGAGTTTCATCATGACATGCGGCCCTTTGTGGTGGACCCACCTGTCTCAATCAATGAGAGAATATTTGAAATAGACAAGATGGCGGCATACACATTGTTGGATTACTACATGGAGCAAAACAATTCTTTATTTTAAAGGAACATTTTCTAAATTAAAACGGACCACCTGCAACTGGACACAGACATTTTAGAAGATACATGTTTGGACGAATCGAGAACGAAGATAGTATTGCCAATACCAGGTTAGTTAAAACATCTCTGGTGACGTTTTGCATAGGCAAACGTGTAACTCCCGGGAATGGAGTGTGCTAAATGACTGAAATGTATAGACACTTTTTGTAACAATCTAGCCTGCTCCAAGTACTGTACTAAGATCAAAATATCTAATTGGAATACACCACCATTTTTAAAATTCTACTGTTTATCATGAATGTAGTCTTCATCATGTCAACAGTGGAACTGTTCTTATCTATTCATAGGAAAATGAAGTCCAACAGGAGTCAGATTAAAAATGTACGCTCTTTCACCCGTCCAAAGTCAGCCAAACGGGGGATCCATGTGAAGGGCAGCTGGAAAGCAGTAGAGCTGGACCCCAGTCTCTTCTCTGAAGAGGGTATGGGGGGACTGGTCTGTTTTGAGGAGCTGACAGACTACCGACTGATAGATTCTGCCAAGGAAGAAACTAAAGCTAAAGATAAAGCAGAAAAAGACAAAAAGAAGCGAGAAGAAAGAAAAGAGAAGAAAAAAGCTAAGAAAAGAAAAGCAAGTGAGGGAGATAAGGATGGAGGGAAACAGGAAGAGGTATGTGAGGGAGGTAGCGACAAAAATGAAACATCTGAAAAAGCAGCTAAAAAGAAGAGGAAGAATAATAAAAAGAAAACAGCCCAACAAAATGACCCAACCACACAGGATGACATCTCTGCGGACAGTGAAGTGAAAAGTGAGGAGGTGAGTAACGAGGTCCAAAACCTTGGAAATGGTTCAGAGAAAGTTGTCAAGGAGGAAGAAAAGGTTGTGGTTAAGGAGGAAGAAGCCCCTGAAGAAACTGTGTCACAAAATGCTGTAATGTGTCCAGAGGATGCTCAGCCACAATCAAACAATACGAAGACTGATGGCAAAAAGAGGAAAAAGAAAAGAGAGGTAGAAAAGCAAAAAGTCCCAGAGTCCCAGATAGAACATGAGCAACAGACCGAGCAGGAGCAACAGACAGAGTTACCCCCTCAATGCAAAGTGGCTAAACTCTCCAAAAAGAAAGCAAAGAATTGGACCAATGCGGCACGCTCTGGTTCTGACCAAAACTCAGATGTGACAGCGTGGAAGGATCTGTTTGTCCCTGACCAAGTGTTGAAGGCACTGAGCAGTCTAGGATTCGGATCACCCACGGCCATTCAAGCTCTGGCATTGCCACCTGCTATCAGAGACCATATGGACATTGTTGGGGCCGCCGAGACGGGTAGTGGTAAGACACTGTCTTTCGGCATCCCCATGATCCATCATATCCTGGAGTGGAAGAAGAGAGCAGATGAAAGTGAGGGGGCGACAGATGGCCAGACTGAGCCAGGAACACAGGTGGAAAGACTGTACCTGCTGACGGTGGAGGAATCTGTAGACACTGAGAAAAGTATTTCCATGGACACCAGCACAGAGGTCGCTGAGGCAGCTCCAGAGACCCCTGCTAAGTCTGAGGCCTGCACTGAGGAAACCAGAGAGCAGGGAGATCCACAAGAGCAGGGTACTGAAGATGTGGCAGAGGAAGACAAAGATGCTGCTGCTGATGAGGAGGACAAAGAAATAATTAAGGAGGATGAAGAAATATATCATGAGGATGAGAGTGACTCTGAAAAGATTGGGTGCGTCAAAGTCATTGAGAATATGGAGTTTGACTTTGACAACTCAGCAGAAGAAGAGACTCTGAAAGTCAGTGAGAAACAGCCATTGTTAGGATTGGTTCTCTGCCCGACCAGGGAGCTGGCTGTACAAGTGAAACATCACATTGATGCTGTGGCCAAGTTTACTGGTGAGTGCTAAAGGCATTGAAGCCACTGATTGTTCTTATTTATTGATTACCCTTTTTGTGATGTAGATGTGGGTTTTCAAGAATCGGATTTGAATGGGATTTCACAAAGCTATTTAAATGAATAGATTTAATAGATTTGTTTCCCTGTGTGCAGGTATAAAAACAGCGATTGTGGTGGGTGGAATGGCTCAGCAGAAACAGATCAGGATGCTGAAACGCAGACCTGAGATTGTCATTGCCACTCCAGGACGCCTGTGGGAGATGATCAAAGAGAGGCATCCACATCTGGTGAACCTAAGGCAGCTCAGGTAATCAGTAGTGGGTTTAATTTGGTATAATGCATGTTCAATGCAGGTGTTTGTCCATATCTGGCCTGAAAAGTTTAATTTTTGCTTCATGATTGTAAATCAGTAAAACAATTTTTTTTCCCATAGGTGCCTAGTCATTGACGAAGCAGACCGCATGGTGGAAAGAGGCCATTTTGCTGAGCTGGAAAGTCTGCTGGAGATGCTGAACACTGTCCAGTTTAACCCAAAGAGGCAGACATTTGTGTTTTCCGCCACTCTGACCATGGCCCACAGCTTGCCCAACCGCGTCTTGCAGAAGAAGGGCAAGAAGGTGGACCAGCGGAGCAAGCTGGAGGTCCTTATGGAGAAAGTGGGGATCAGGTCCAAACCTAAAGTAATTGATCTGACCCGGAAGGAGGCTACAGTCGAGACCCTGACTGAGACACGGATACACTGTGAAAAGGAAGAGAAGGATTTCTTCCTGTACTACTTCCTGCTCCAGTATCCAGGCCGGACTATGGTGTTTGCCAACAGTATTGACTGCATCAAGCGGCTTAACTCTCTGCTGGTCATCCTGGACCGTACTCCACTGCCACTGCATGCCAACATGCACCAGAAGCAGCGCCTAAAGAACCTTGAGAGGTTCGCTGAGAGGGAGAGGTGAGTCATAGAAGAAGGACATGTATATGCTGCAGGCTAGTTATTATCCATAATTGTTTTGAGGTATGCATTGGATTAGCCTTGAGTGGATCAGCAACTTTTTGTCTGTACCATAAACTATGTTGACTACGATAAACATTGATCTTTACAGCTGTGTGCTCCTGACAACTGACGTGGCGGCAAGAGGCCTTGATATTCCAAATGTTCAACATGTCATTCATTACCAGGTATGCCTTTTGACACCTTTTGTGGCTTCCTGTCATTCTTTGTCTCTAACAGTTATTCCTCAAATTAATAACTTTCTTGTGTGTCTCAGGTTCCCAGAACGTCAGAGACTTATGTCCACCGCAGTGGTAGGACTGCACGAGCCACCAAAGAGGGTCTCAGTTTGCTCCTGGTTGGGCCAGATGACATGATGAACTTCAAGAAAATCTACAGAGCTCTGGGAAAGGACGAGGAGGTCCCCATGTTCCCCATACAGAGCAAGTGCATGGCTGCCATCAAGGTAGGCACCTAGCAAGGCCAGGCACCTGTATTTGATCACGATGGTCGATCTGAGCTAGGAGCTGCACAGATGTACTTATCTTTCATGAAAATGAAATATGGTAAAATGTTGTTTTGTATCTGCCTTGACAGGAGCGAGTCAACATGGCCAGGAAGATAGAGAAGATTGAGTTCCACAACAGCAGAGAGAAGCAGCACAACTCTTGGTTTAAGCAAGCAGCAGAAGCTCTGGAGGTGGACCTGGATGATGATGTTTTGCTTGGTAAGACTACATCATTAAATTAGTTATCTAGGAGTGGGAGGTTGCCTCATGAGAAACCCAGAAATAAGAGGGACTTGCATAAATAGATCAGAGTAAACTGACATTTGTTTATTTTAGGGGGGAGGAAGGATGAGGAGGACGACAGGCAGCAGCAGAAGATGGTGAAGGGCATGAAGAAGCACCTGAAACACCTGATTTCTCAGCCTGTATTCAAGAATGTGATGAAGACCAAGTACCCCACACAGATGGGTAAGCTCTCCCTGCCCAACATGCCCCTACATGGTTTGGAAACGGCCTTGACCAGTGTCTCCAATCAGAAGAAAAGACAGAAACAAAAGAAGCAGCAGCAGTAGTATGTTAGAAATGAGTGTAGTCTCAATGAGAATGTCTGAGATTGAATTTATATAAATGGAAATACAGTGCAATTATTGTAACATTTTCACAAATGATTTTAAAAGATATCAGTCTTGTGTTTTTGAATAAATACTTTTTTTTGACATTCAAGAAAGTCTAGCGGAGTCTACCGCATATGCGTTCACTGTATATTACAAAACAATGCGACAAACATTTGTTTGAGAAACTTCTTAATCACAATGTACATTTATTTGAACACATAACTACCGGTAAACCTGAGATAAGTGGAGGCCTTGATCAGGCCCCTCAATGGCAATGTGGGTAGAGAATGTCATAGTGGGCTGTTTTGTATAGGAGGTGTAGGGAGGGCTCCGCTCCCTCTGGGATCGTGTGGTGGGCCAGTCGCTGTCCATCTCCTCCCTCCACGGAAGCAATGTGGATGCTAACTCCTAAGGCCTCCGACAGAGCCAGGATATCTACGTGGTCACACTCCATCGCCATGGTTTCCACTTCCTGGATAAGTCAAGAATGGACATTGTAAGTATATACCCAAGCAGAAACAGAATTGTTTTGATGGGTTGATCAAAGTACAGCTACAAAAAAATTGATCCCTAAAACACCCCAATTCTTTTCAATTTATTGCACCACCACTAGAAAGCAGCACAACACTTTCAGACATTAGTTTTGAGTGGTGAGAGACTCCTTGACGAGGTCTGATTGTCTTTGGAGAACAGTATCAGCAGCACCCGGCACACTTCCATAGCACATTAATAAAACAGAAGTTGACCGCAATATGGTCTTATGAGCAACTCATACTGACCCGAGTGCAGTAAACCTTGAGACTGGGTGCCTCCACAAAGTGGCTGAAGAAGTCGGCATGGTTTTGCAGGTAGGCTGAGGTGAGCAGCCTGAGGTATTGCACCATACTGTCAGAGGTAGTTTGCTCATTAAAGAGCTGGAGCAACGCGTCACCCTGGTCATCAGCTTCACATTGTTCCAAAACACCTACAAACTAAAAGATGAATTGTCCACTAATTAAAACAGGCTTCAATTACATGTGTGACGGTTAAAGAAAATGTGACTTGTCATCTTTATTGTGAAGAAGGTGCATTATTCGATTTAACAAAAAATAGTACAAAGGTAGTTAAATATAGACTTACCATGTCGAGCAAGTCTTTGAAAGAGCTCTCATCAAAGCCTGCAGTCAATAACTCTCTGCCACTTTGTTTCACTGTTTCTTTGAATCTGAGATACAGAGAAAATTATACATCTTCCTCCATTATTTTGAAGTGGCAAAGCCACACAGGTAAAGGCACATTCTTGGAATCCAAAACATTCTATGAATGCACATTACACATGGCAAAATATAGGAATACTAGGAAGGAATTTACCTTTGCAAAGCTCTATCATTTTGTAACAATGATTCCAGGTGTCCAAAGCAAAGGGCTCTGTAAAAGCAATTGCCATCTCCCCTGATTTTTCTCATGGACTTATACTGGCTGCAAATCTCCTTCAAAACAAGAGATGTCGGTGAATTTGACAAATTCAAGTACTTTAATTTCACTAGCCTGTCTTACATTTAATATGTATTTGATTTGATTAACTAGTTAGTCCATTATGTAATTTGTTAACACTACTTTACAGTTTCCTTTTACAGTGTAATTTACACTGAACAAAAATATAAACGCAACATGTAAAGTGTTGATCCCAGAAATGTTCCATACGCACAAAAAGCTTTTCTCTCAAATGTTGTGCACAAATTTGTTTACATCCCTGTTAGTGAGCATTTCTCCTTTACCAAGATAATACATCCACCTGACAGGTGTGGCATATCAAGAAGCTGATTAAACAGCATGATCATTACACAGGTGCACCTTGTGCTGGGGACAATAAAAGGCCACTCTAAAATGTGAAGTTTTGTCACACAACACAATGCCACAGATTTCTCAAGTTTTGAGGGAGCGTGCAATTGGCATGCTGACTGCAGGAATGTCCAACAGATCTGTTGCCAGAGAATGCAGACCATGTGTATGGCGTCGTGTGGGCGAGCAGTTTGCTGATGTCAACGTTGTGAACAGAGTGCCCCATGGTGGCGGTGGGGTTATGTTATGGGCAGGCATAAGCTACGGACAACGAACACAATTGCATTTTATCTATGGCTATTTGAATGCACATAGATACCGTGGACGAGATCTTGAGGCCCCTTGTTGTGCCATTCATCCGCCACCATCACCTCATGTTTCAGAATGATAATGCACTGCCCCATGTCGGAAGGATCTGTACACAATTCCTGGAAGCTGAAAATGTCCAGTTCTTCCATGGCCTGCATACTCACCACACGTCACGCACTGAGCATGTTTGGGATGCTCTGGATTGACGTGTACGACAGCGTGCTCCAGTTCCTGACAATATCTAGCAACTTTGCACAGCCATTGAAGAGTGGGACAACATTCCACAGGCCACAATCAACAGCCTGATCAACGTGCTGCATGAGGCAAATGGTGGTCACACCAGATATGACTGCTTTTCTGATCCATGCCCCTACCTTTCTTTTTTTTAAGGTATCTGTGACCAACAGATGCATGTCTGTACTCCCAGTTGTGAAATCCATAGATTAGGGTTCTAATTAATGTATTTCAATTGACTGATTTCCTTATATGAACTGTAACTCAGTAAAATCTGGTTACATGTTACGTTTTATATTTTTCTTCAATATAGTTCAATCTGTTTTAAGATACCCAAGGAATATCTATCCAAAGATGTCAGAGATCCCACAACAGACATGTAAGCTTTATGTATGTTTTAATAGCCTAATTTAGGCCAAACCTGAATTCACATGCTCTTGTGAGCCTTTTTCAAAAGCTATATAAATAGGCATTATTACCCGATACTTTGCATCTTCCACCTCCAGCAGATTTGTAGATATTTCTTCTCTACTTGAAACAAACTGGCCTGCGTCCGTCTGTGAAGAAAAGTCATTGGCTAAATTAAGTCTAAAATAAATGGTTGCATGACAATAGTAAAACATGCTTTGTTAATTCCTACGTTTACATATTTTTGTTGTTGCTTAAAGATAACATTACCATACTTGAGGCGTCTCAAAGAATAGTCGAATTATTTTCTTTCAACCTTGATGAGGCTAGGTTAGCATGCTACAAAGATAAACATGGATAGGTAGCTAGCTAAGTAGAAACCGATTTAAATGTTTTCACGTTTGTCATCCTGTCTCGCGGGCTAAGCGCGTGGTAAGACAGAACACGACTGTTGTACGCAACAAAGTAACAGTGGAATGATGAGTAACATCGAGAGACATTCTAGAATTCTTTCATTTTCGAGCAACATTCTTCTTCGATGAGGGTTAACGGCGGTTGGCATCCAATAAATGTTGCATTACCGCCACCTACTAGACTGGAGTATTACTTACTCCCTTGTACTTTGCTTTTTAAAATATATATAAAAATAATAAATACATCTTCGAGCAACATTAACAACAACCGGATATTTAGAACTGCCACGTGCTTTGTGTTTAAAGGGACAGTACATTCATTGTATCCATGAGTGCACAGGCCTAGATTTGTCTGTGTACTACAGTGTAGTATTTTTACATTTGTGTTGATTACAACGACCATATGTAGTCCATTCAGTAGTCTTAATTTCACAGAACCACAATTTCATCATATTTATTTGTTTTTATTCATTTCAAAGAGGTCAGTTCAAATACATTTTGTCAGATGAACATTTGTAATATTTTTAAATGAATAAAGCAAACTAATGAACATTTGAATTCATCCTATCAATTTTTTATCATCAATCTTTGATTAGGCTATATGAGAAATGCATGTACAACTGCATGGTACAACCACAACAATTTCCTTCAGCAACTTATCACCACACTATAATATTATAACACTATTACAACAACCTTAAAGAAAAGTTAAAAGTAACTTATATTGCACTCACTCCCTTTACCATGTGTGTGTACAATACATCTGCATGGTTGTATTCATGTGTGTAAATGTTTCTCCACAAACTCGTAAAAGGCCTATTCAGCATTGCTCCACTCTTCCCACTGGTCTTGCTGGTGCTCTTTAGTTGTGTTTTACTGTTAATGTTTTTCAGTGATCCTATGTTCTCTGTGGCACTTGTCTATCAGTTGTGTTGCTCTCTTCTCTATGTCTGCCCTCTCCAGAATGTATTCTGGAGTCTCGGGACTGGCCTTGGTGCATCATCAGGTTAATCTTAGTCTGTTTGTTTTTCTCCTTGGCTCTATCCCACTGGTTATGCAGTTCAGACAGCTCCCTGTTCGTCATCTGCCTCAGAGGGAAAGAAGATAACACAGTCTAACCTGGCCCCACACAATTCATTAACCGAAATGAAATTATTTATCATTAGCACATATAGAGCACAATGTACATGCATTTCTAAGCATGTATTTGTACGTCTGACCAGCTTGTTTGTGTTGTGCTCCTGCTTCAGACTGTCCAGGCTGCGCTGGCCCTGCTCCAGCTCCTCCACCAGCTGGCCCAGGCGCTCCACCGGATCCTGATGGGTGAGGGACAGGGTCTCATGACGCCGTATGATGGGCATCACCAGGGAGTCTACCCCATACTCCAGGTGATCTACATTCAAAGTGAACATACTTATTGTATTGTGTGGCCTGCCGAGTGGTGCAGCGGTCTAAGGCATTGCATCGCAGTGCTAGAGGCTTCACTACAGATCCGGGTTCGGCGCACAATTGGCCGAGCGTCGTCCGGGTTAGGGGAAGGTTTGGCCGGCTGGGATGTCCTTCTCCCATCGCGCTCTAGCGAACTCCTTGTGGCAGCCGGGCGCATGCACGCTTACTTCAGGTCGCCAGCTGTACGGTGTTTCCTCCAACACATTGGTGCGGCTGGCTTCCGGGTTAAGCGAGCAGTGTGTCAAGAAGCAGTGCGGCTTGCCGGGTCGTGTTTCGGAGGACGCATGGCTCTCGACCTTCGCCTCTCCCAAGTCCATAGGGTAGTTGCAGCGACGGGACAAGACTGTAACTACCAATTGGAACCCTCCCCTAACCTGGACAAATTGTGCACCGCCTCATGGGTCTCCCGCTCGCGACACAGCCTGGGATCGAACCCGGGTCTGTAATGACGCCTCTAGCACTGCGATGCAGTGCCTTAGACCGCTGCACCACTCAGGAGGCCCCGTAGGTTCTATTTTAAACCTATACAGTATCTGTATAATTTCACCTGAATTCCTGCTGTTTCTGTGCCAGCTGACAATCCACTTCCACCTGCTTCTTCAAGACAAGGGTCCTCTGTAATGTGTTCACTCCTGTCTCCAGGACTCTGCTAGTGGCCTAAATGGGAAATTAGTAGTTAAATTAGCTGTGTAATTAATATTTTCAAACTTTTATGAGTAGGATGAGGATCCCGCTGCATTTCACCATAACTGGACATAAAAATGATGCACATCAAATGTACAGTGCTGTGAAAAAGTATTTGCCCCCTTTCTAATTTTCTCTACTTCTTTTGCATAACTGGTTGTGCCACCTTTAGCTGAAATGACTCCAACCAAATGCTTCCTGTAGTTGTTAATCAGTCTCACGTCGCTGTGGAGAATTTTGACCCACTCTTCCATGCAGTGGGTCAAACTGTATTTATAAAACGAAAATTCTCCATATTTGAAGTCGTTGCAACTGTTTTTTTGCCGACGTTTACTAACACCAGCCATATTCAACGAGTGTTGAGCGTTCGTAAATTCATAAGTTATAATGCGCTCTGGCACACTCAGACGAGAGTGCTCTGAAATCGGAGTAGATAGCCAGAGCGAATTTACGAACTCACCCGTTGTGTTCCTGAAAGAATGGTTCCGTGCACACGAACAAGTGAGCGACAAAGGGCTTTCCGGATTGGGTGTACTACTGAAAAAGTGTTACATGTTTCCCAGGAACCAGAGGGGAGGCAAGAGGGAATGCAAGTGGATCGTTTCTCCGTTGTCATAGCAACTGCGGAGAGGCGTTCTATTTCAGGGATGGAAATAAAGTGAAAGGTACTCTTTTTTTTTTTTTTTTAAAAAAAAAATTTGGTCATTTAGCAGACGCTCTTATCCAGAGCGACTTACATGAGCAATTAGGGTTAAATGCCTTGCTCAAGGGCACATCGACAGATTTTTTACCTAGTCGGCTCGGGGATTAGAACCAGCGACCTTTCGGTTACTGGCACAACGCTCTTAACCACTAAGCTACCTGCTTAACCACTAAGCTACCTGCCGTACTCCATAAAAAGCATAGTTTGCCTTGATAGGTTGTTGACTGATATTGCAAACACATGAACTATGTCTCAATTTAAATAGAACAATTATTGTAAATTTCATTTTGAAGATATAGATGTCTGCATGCATGGTCAATAATTGTTAGGTATGCAACCAACTTGATCGGCACTAGCATTTTTCTTGATCCTGTTTTGACTTCAGATTATTTTCCAGATACAGTATTTATTTTTATTTTTTAGTCATTTAGCAGATGCTCTTATCCAGAGCGACTTACAGTAGGCATGGGTCTAGTTCATTTGACACCAAAAAATGAGACATACACTACCGGTCAAACGTTTTAGAACACCTACTCATTACCAAGAAGGAGAGTGATGGAGTGCTGCATCAGATGACCTAGCCTCCACAATCCCCCGACCTCAACCAAATTGAGATGGTTTGGGATGAGTCAGATGGCAGAGTGAAGGAAAAGCAGCCAACAAGTGCTCAGCATATGTGGGAACTCCTTCAAGACTTTTGGAAAAGCATTCCAAGTGAAGGTGGCTGAGAGAATGCCAAGAGTGTGCAAAGCTGTCATCAAGGCAAAGGGTGGCTATTTGAAGAATCTCAAATATAAAATATATTTTGATTTGTTTAACACTTTTGTTGGTTACTACATGATTCCATATGTGTTATTTCATAGTTTTGATGTCTTCACTATTATTCTACAATGTAGAAAATAGTAAAAATAAAGAAAAACCCTTGAATGAGTAGGTGTTCTAAAACTTTTGACCGGTAGTGTATTTCATTCAAGTACAGTGGGGGGGAAAAGTATTTAGTCAGCCACCAATTGTGCAAGTTCTCCCACTTAAAAAGATGAGAGAGGCCTGTCATTTTCATCATAGGTACACGTCAACTATGACAGACAAATTGAGATTTTTTTCTCCAGAAAATCACATTGTAGGATTTTTAATGAATTTATTTGCAAATGATGGTGGAAAATAAGTATTTGGTCACCTACAAACAAGCAAGATTTCTGGCTCTCACAGCCCTGTAACTTCTTCTTTAAGAGGCTCCTCTGTCCTCCACTCGTTACCTGTATTAATGGCACCTGTTTGAACTTGTAATCAGTATAAAAGACACCTGTCCACAACCTCAAACAGTCACACTCCAAACTCCACTATGGCCAAGACCAAAGAGCTGTCAAAGGACACCAGAAACAAAATTGTAGACCTGCACCAGGCTGGGAAGACTGAATATGCAATAGGTAAGCAGCTTGGTTTGAAGAAATCAACTGTGGGAGCAATTATTAGGAAATGGAAGACATACAAGACCACTGATAATCTCCCTCTGCCGTAACCATGGGGTCAAAATGATCACAAGAACAGTGAGCAAAAATCCCAGAACCACACGGGGGGACCTAGTGAATGACCTGCAGAGAGCTGGGACCAAAGTAACAAAGCCTACCATCAGTAACACACTACGCTGCCAGGGACTCAAATCCTGCAGTGCCAGACGTGTCCCCCTGCTTAAGCCAGTACATGTCCAGGCCCGTCTGAAGTTTGCTAGAGTGCATTTGGATGATCCAGAAGAGGATTGGGAGAATGTCATATGGTCAGATGAAACCAAAATAGAACTTTTTGGTAAAAACTCAACTCGTCGTGTTTGGAGGACAAAGAATGCTGAGTTGCATCCAAAGAACACCATACCTACTGTGAAGCATGGGGGTGGAAACATCATGCTTTGGGGCTGTTTTTCTGCAAAGGGACCAGGACGACTGATCCGTGTAAAGGAAAGAATGAATGGGTTCATGTTTCGTGAGATTTTGAGTGAAAACCTCCTTCCATCAGCAAGGGCATTGAAGATGAAACGTGGCTGGGTCTTTCAGCATGACAATGATCCCAAACACACCGCCCGGGCAACGAAGGAGTGGCTTCGTAAGAAGCATTTCAAGGTCCTGGAGTGGCCTAGCCAGTCTCCAGATCTCAACCCCATAGAAAATCTTTGGAGGGAGTTGAAAGTCCGTGTTGCCCAGCGACAGCCCCAAAACATCACTGCTCTAGAGGAGATCTGCATGGAGGAATGGGCCAAAATACCAGCAACAGTGTGTGAAAACCTTGTGAAGACTTACAGAAAACGTTTGACCTGTGTCATTGCCAACAAAGGGTATATAACAAAGTATTGAGAAACCTTTGTTATTGACCAAATACTTATTTTCCACCATAATTTGCAAATAAATTCATTAAAAATCCTACAATGTGATTTTCTGGAAAAGAAAATCTCATTTTGTCTGTCATAGTTGACGTGTACCTATGATGAAAATTACAGGCCTCTCATCTTTTTAAGTGGGAGAACTTGCACAATTGGTGGCTGACTAAATACTTTTTTCCCCCCACTGTAGGCCTAGTGGTAATGGTATGACATTGGATCTTAAACAGAACAAGACACATTTACTTGATTGTAAAGTTGGACAGAAAATAGCAATCAATCCAAATGAACACAGCCTCAACCAGTGTTATTGTCTAATAATAACAGATCTTGGAAATATGCTTTGGGGTGCTCTGGAAACCGAGGTGAGTAGAAATGTTATACTGAGACTGTCAGAGAGAGCTTTGGGAATGACATAGATGGAAAAATTCAACATTCACTGCATAATACTCATGTTAATCTGTAAATATGTTTTAGCCTATATCATTTTTTTTATATACTGGAGAAGGCTTTTTACTTCCCCATAAATAGATTTGGAAAATGTCTAATAAAATGTTGCATTTCATTTTGGCAGAGTTAATCTTGTTATTTCTTGATGGTGACTGTTTATTTTCTTAATATTGAGTGATTCTCTTATGTCACAAAAGTTTGTGTATATCACCAGGGACTGTAATTCAAGCTGTTGTATGGGTGATTGTAATACTCCTTCATAACCTCTGCCGTAACCATGCAAGCCTTCAAGCCAGAGAGAGGATTTTAGTGCAGCAGAATCAAGTAGGACAAAACAAAGCTAAACATGTCCTTAAAAGGCATCACCACTGCTGGGGCTGCTTGCTCTCTGTAGTCTGGCAGCACAGATAGCTGTTTTCTCTCACATCAACACAGGAGTGCCTGGCCCTGAGGTTACTCCACATGCGGAAAACGTATTACTGTATGTTGATGCTGCTTAAGTTTGTTGTGCACTCTGTCTCTCCCATCTTATTTTGTGACTGCAGGATTTTAAAGGGACATTTTCACTTCTATGTTTGATGACTGAGACTGAGTGGAATATTTTGTTTTATGATTAATTCATTCATGCTGTTAACTACCTTCCAGGTCCCTTTGTTGCAACTCCAGGACCAACAGGCTCATCACTGGGCTATGAGGACAACAGGGAAGTGTTGCATAACCTAGTTGTTGAGGGCAACATGGTGACCACCGATGGGACCATCCCAGCCAGCCTGTCCAGAACACTATGCCAAAGACAAAATATTGATAACACAGATACCTCTAACTCTCGGACTCACCCCACTACAATCCACTCATCCGTCAACTCTTTGAGGTGAGCCCAGAAAATGTAAATGTCTTTATAATCACTCTCTTGTTCAAAATAATTGAGTGCATTATACTATATCAGATGTGTAACAATCTGCAGGATCAGGTACATGTTATTTCACGTAGTTACATCAAAGATAAAGGAAGTTAAATTCTGAACCCCTGTCACTATATGGTGGGTTATACAGCAGCCGTAGGCATCAAACTCTCTGAAGGGCATTATGTTGTATTCTGAAGCTGCAGTGTTCAAGGCTTAGACAATAGGCACTTATGCTCATATTGTTAAGATTTCCATGCTGTCAGCATTTTTGCACAAAAGCATAAGGTAAAGAAGCCACAATTTGACTTCTTCACCAAATGGGGTTGGGTTTATAATTTTGTTATAATAACATTGCAATTTTTTTACATTCTGAAGTTATTGACAATTCCAGTAGCATTAACATAACACCTATTTTAAATGTATCATAATATAAAAACACCTGCCAGTTCAGTTAGCAAATGCCATAATAAAAACGAATGGGGTGGAGAACAGATGCCCAAGGTATCCTGATGCAATTTGCTTTTATCTTTGGGCGGCTTATGCTGGAGTGCCTTGACATATATGGTATAGTAGCCACCACCCCCCACACACACATGTCATTGCAGTCCTAAAATAATCTCTGAAAGCACAGCTGAGCACTGGCTATCCTCCCCCGCTGTTGTCATTGCTCGACCGCTGCTCTGCCCCATGTGTTCTCTACTACGCGTGTGGAGCCGCTAAAAGAATGACGAGATTTAGTTATTCTGAGTATCTGTCGCAATTTCGTTATGGTGGGAACAAGGGCAATACGTCTTTAGGTAAATTATCCAGCGATGAGAAACGATGTGCTGAGCGGCGACGGCAGAACGACATTACGTCAGAGTCAGCGGAGTGAGTATTTTGCTACTTGTGAAGCGCTGGGCAATCGGCCTATCAGTGATTTTATTTTAGTTGCCAGTGGTTAGATATAAGGGCCATAATGTAGTGTCCTTGTAAATCAAAATATATTATCATTGATGATATAAGAGAGACATATTTCCTAGTTGTCTTTTTTATACACTGAAACAGACCACACTCATTTAGTCCACGGGGATTGTACTCTTTATTTAAAAACATTAAAAACTAGATTTATGAGAGAACTTGGTATCATAAACCTGCATCTATTAACCAACATTCTGTTTTGTCTCTTCAAGTCATTTGCCTTCCCTCTGTTGTAGGGATGTAGAGCCAATAGTGTTTGCCATCCAGAGAGGAGATGCTCAAGCTGTGAAAGAGCTGTCAGTGGCTGCACCACTCAGCCTGATGAAAGAGAACAAAGAAGGATGGATACCTTTGCATGAGGCTGCATATTATGGCCAAGCTGAATGCATAAAGGCACTGATGAAAGGTACATTTTGGAAGCATAATTTCTGTCAATGGAAAGCCTTGCCTTTATTATTGGGGTTGAATGAAATAGACTGGAGGATCATGAAATGGTGGAAAGAAGACACCATACTGTTATATATTATGAAAGCTGTGGATGATGTTTAAGCATTGTGTGTTTACATTTGTGTATTGTAGCCTATGCATATATTTATTCTCCAGCCCAACCAGGGTCAGTTGACAAGCGCACCCTCCAGGAACAGACTGCTCTTCTCCTGTCAGTTTCCGGTCAGCACTTGTCCTGTGTGCAGTGCCTTCTACAGGCAGGGGCAGACCCTGACATCAGCAGCAAGAACAAAGAGACACCCCTAAACAAAGGTACATCTCTCCAAATAGGCTATAGCATGAGAGTGGAAGATAATAGTACCTCTGTTTTTAGATAGATGTAGGCCTATGGTGAAGCATGGTGTCTTCTGCCAGGCTAACCCAATGTCCTCTGATGCCTTCCAGCGTGTGAGCGGGAGAACGTGGAAATGGTGAGCCTCATCCTGTTATTCGGGGCCACAGTGAACCAGAGGTGTAACCGGGGCTGGACAGCCCTCCATGAGGCAGTGTGCAGGGACAACATGGAGATCTGTGAGATGCTGGTTAGGGCAGGAGCCACCATTAACCCTCCTAATACCTACAGCATCACACCGCTAATAGTAGCAGTCCAGCAAGGACGTGTAGAGGCCCTGCGGTACCTCATTAGGAAAGGTAGGGTTCACTATGTGTAGTTCTGTAAGAGTCTGAGATGACATGTATGGCCACATAATGCATCCCTGCTATATGGCTGTTAATTATCACCTTATTCACGCAGACAATGGCATCTTAAAGTAATTAAGTGATGTGTTCAGTCAGTTCTTTGCGATGTGTCTGATGTTGTGTTCTTTTCCCCAGGTGCTGACGTCAACATGCAGACGTGTGACGGTGCTACAGCCCTGTATGAGGCCAGTAAAGATGGCCACAGGGAGATAGTGGAGCTACTACTATCTCACAACACAGACGCCAACAAACCCACCAAGACAGGACTCTTACCTCTACACATTGCTGCTCAGTATGGACACCATGAGTAAGTTAGAGTGCACTATATTTATCCTGTCGTGTCTGTCTGTTGTATTACTCTTATGTACAGTACTAATGTCCACTTGTTCCAGGATTGTGTCCCTGCTTGTCCCGGTCACCAGTCGGGCCAGAGTTCGCCACAGTGGGATCAGCCCCCTCCACCTGGCTGCAGAGCACAACAGGGACATGGTCACAGCCATACTGCTCAAGACAGGAGCCGACGTCAATGCCACACTATCCCACAATCGCTCCATGCAGTATTCGGATCACCGCACCACGCCACTTTACTTTGCCATTGCCAATGGGAGCAGGAAGTCAGCAGAAATGTTACTGAAAGCTGGTGCTAATCTGAGCCTGGACCCAGTCAACCCTCTACTAGCAGCTGTAAGACACGGTTGTACCAGGACTGTCTCTCTACTGCTGGAGCATGGGGCCGATGTTAACACCAGCATCCCATCCTGTCCTACCACCTTCCCTGGTGCTATTGTACTCTGTATGAATAACCTACCACTTCTCAAGTGCCTTTTGGATAAGGGCTGTGATGCCCAAGCCTGCTTCAGATGTGCTTATGGTTGCTGGCCCACACCCAGCACAGGACAGCATGGGCAGCATAGGCATTGACATCAACAAATGCACCAATGACATGTCTCTTCTAACCTGCACAGAACCTGCTGTCAGCAAAGTACAGGTAAGGCAAAGTAGGCTCATATTGCAGTGATCACAATTATTATGGGAACTTGATAGACATTTTTTAAACAAGGCATGATGCTCATTATCTTTTCTTTCTGTTCATCCTAATATCCCTTAGTTTTGTGAGTTGATCTCATCACCATCCATGTGTAACTGGGAAGGGCCCATCGTAGACTTGCTGCTGGACTACGTTGGTAATGTTCAACTGTGTGCCAGACTCACCGAGATCCTGGGCGGCCGGAAGGAATGGCCCAGCATCAAGGCCAAGTCATGTGAGTACATCTAGACACATACACACACACAGGTGAGACAATCTAACACAGTGTCCCCTGTTGTTTCCTCAGTGTCATCCCGTCCACTGATGCACCTATGTAGGGTAAGGATCCGTGAGCAGGTGGGTGTGTCCAGACTCAGGTCTCTGGATAACCTACCCCTCCCAGACAGACTGCTGCAGTACCTCAGCCTGACCAGACACAGCTTTGATGACTTCTGCCCTGATGGCAAATAAGGCTTATCAGTGTCCTGTGTTGTGCCTTATAGTATATTACCTGTTTACAGGAGTTTTGGCTGTATTTATGGGTTAGTAATTATTTATTGATTGGGTAAAATGTGTGTAATGGGAAAATGTGTGTTGTTTGCACATAGCATGTGTGTGTTGTGTGCACATACCGTGGAAGTGAGCTGCAGTTCTGAGTGGATTGGCTGACAAATGACAACAGATAGCCTAAAGCCACAGTAGTTGATAATCTCTGAAGAAGTGCAGCGAAACTGAGCTCAAATGAAACTCAAGGTAACCTTTTAAAATACCTGTGTCATTCAGATGTTTAGGCCCAGGCAAACAAATGCAGACAATCAATGTGATGGTTTATAGAATGTACTTGTGTATTCAGCACTAATTATGTAATGTGTTTTTAAAGTGTGTTTTCAACAGACCTTGTGCAATGAGTGTATGCCTATATAATAGTCCAGTTGTTGTTGTACTCTACTGTAAATGTCAGTGCCAAAATGTATGATCCTGTATTGGAAAAGGTGCTGGAACCAAAGAAAAAAATCGAAACATCTGCAGTTTATTTAAAAATAAATGTAAATTCTCCATTTCACAAGTATTATTTACAAACAGAAAATATCAAGAAATTCTGGGGGGGAAACGTCACTGTCAGTCTGTTTACTTTTTTGGAAAAATAGCAGTGAACTACAAGTCATTTCGATAAATTAGTTTTAAAATCAGTGTATTTAAGAAATATATAGCCTACACGAACACCATGAGGTGATCAACACACACGCAGACCTCTCCCTCAGCATAGCTGATCACAACGAATCAAAGAATGGACAACCTCGAATGTCACTCTCCATTCATATATCAACACGTTTACTTCGATTTAAAAAAAGAAATATGTTGAAGTATAGTCTAAAATTTTCAGTTTTGTTTGGTGCTATGATTTTATCATGAATGTTATGGAAGCCAGGTGGTAGGTAGGCTAAAGGTGCAGGTGTTCCAAGCAGAGGTGGCCTATTTGGTCTGAAAGACTACTTAAGTGCTTATGACTGACTACTCTTTAAAAAAAAAAGAGAAATGCCAAGTTTTAAATAAAAACTTATGGCATTGCAAAGTAAACTAATTCATATTTACATATTCGTTATTGCTTATTGAAATGAAGAATTGCTTATTTAAATTATATTTACACGTGCATAATTGTGTTTAAATGAAGCCAAACACGCTGAAAATCGATGAGGGGACCGTGGGTTTAGTCGGTATGGGTTTGACCACGACATGCGTATGGTTCTTATGTCCGTGTGCCATGTCATGCGTTTCAGTTTCAGCCACTGGGGCTTTTCCCCAGAGTCCCACAGCTGAGTGGGGAACGACTATGTGACTCTGGAATACGTGGTGTCCATGGTACTGAAACGGACAGCAACCGCATACACTGACGTTGTGAGTGGCCACATCCAGTTTGAGCGGTTCTTTTTCGACAGAGCCAAGTCGATTGGAGTGAAACATGGTCGGTTTTGGTTCCTGGTGAGTTTTTTTTCTTTTTTCAACCCTGTTGATTCCTGTCACACCTTGGCTCTTTTTCCATCCATGCTGTGAAGGTTCTGTGTTGGTTTGGACTAACCGGGGTTCCTCCCAAAACGATGCAGGGAGTTGACGTTTCCTCATGGGTACCTGATCTTGCTTAGTGTTATCACTGTCTGCAGTTGGGTTCTGACCCGTCCTTACGTTCTCCTCGTCTTGCGCATCCGAACCCCCTTTTTCATTGATGGGCGTCATGCTCTGGTGAATTGTCTCCAAAGAATAGGCGCTAGACTTGTCCACCAGGGCTTTGGCGATGCCAGACTCCGTGGTCCTGTGTGTGTGGCATCTGGGCATCCGAGAGTATTTCTGAGAAAAACGCTTGAGCTGTTTCTGCAGGTATTTCCTGTGGTCCACAGAGCGCCTGCAAGGGGCTGATTTGTCTAGAGCCGCTTTGATGTCACTGGATGCTAAGTTTACAAAGTTCAGTAACGTTTTCACCTCACTGTCTGCACTTGCCATTTTAAACAATGTCAAAGTGTAAATCTTTTAATCCATACTACCGAAAAAGTCCATGCAAATGATATTCTTCATCTTAAAAATCTGAGAAAAAAAGTGAATGTCATAAGACTTGAGAAGCATGCGCAAACAAATTTGTTAGGCTAAATGCAAAATATAAGAACTCAATATAGCCTACTTACATTATTCGTTGTTCATGAAGAATCCCACAATAATTACACAATTACGCATAATAAAACAATAATTAGCCTACACCATTGCGCATATCCTAACAAAACGTCGTTTGCAAGTTATCCATTCATATCCACAAATAAAACTTACCATGTCCCCTGTTGAGGATTCCCATTCCTGTCTCTATCCCAGACGCAGTCTGAGTGCTTCCACAAGTTGAATGAATATAAACTGCTTGTAGTTATGGTGCTTTCCTTGAACCAATCAGCGACCCCAGGCCCCTCACAATGCTCCCCAATCAGCCTCCAAGCGCCCCAGTATTGAATTCTTTGCCATCGCAAATTGTTGTCATGGAGATCCCCCAAGAAAAGCAGCTAATAGATGCAATATTTCTGCACGGTTTTCCGCGCGCTCATGGAACACCCATACAATAGTTTATCCAAACCTCTAAATATTTCCCATAGCATTATTATTCTGACGAGGCTGAAATGGACATGCTTCATCACTGCGAGACAACATTGGTTACTTTCAACTGTTTTGATCTAGACTCCCCCCTTCCAGAGTGATGTCAGATGTAGGATTTGGTTGGGGGGGGGGGGGATCTAAAGAGCACATATCCATGGAAAGGGGGCTTGAGCGCTCAAGAATCTTGTCTTTCTATTTTCCCCCTCAATCGAACGACACAAAAGCTGAATTACTCATTCAAACCTCGCGGGACAAAGGGAAAGGAGCTGGATAGCACTCCTGCATTTGTAGTCAAACATTTAGAGACTTAAATCGAGTCGTCATGAAGGAGAAAGAGTTGGACAAAGCCCATAGAATTGCCATCAGCAAACATTTTCCTGTGTCATATTAGTGGGTCTCCATAGCTCCTTCTGGCCGGCGGACAATAGCACAAGTTTGCACACTCGAATACTGTCACCCTGCCAACGGCAACAAGCGCCCAAAACAGGACAATCCCGGGAGAAAGCAGGCTCCGCGGGGAAGGTTGCAATAGAGGAGGAAAAGGGGACTTGTGAAATTCTAATTGAGCTCCATCCCCCTATTGAAGAAAAAATAGTACCTTTCGTTCCATTGAACCAGCTCCTCTTGGCAGCAGTGTGGCATGAGATGTGAGGAAACCGTTTGTCTGGTAAGTAACCTACACCACATGCCTATAACCACGATACCGCTTCGCTGCGCTCAGCCCTGACGGCAAGACGTTGTTTAAGCGCACCTGTAAAGGACTATAATATTCATATTTACTGACTTCTCAGAGTCAAATGCACCTGTGTATCTATGTATGCACCTGCATGCTAAAACAAATGCACTTTGTATCTATTAAATGTTATAGGCGTATCATGTTTTATGACTAATAATATACTAACGTGTTATTTCTCTGAGAATATGTAGCCTAAACTCCATTATGTCTTAATTACATATATATTGACTAGTCCAGCCCCTGGTATGAAGGGTTGATCTGCTCGTTGTCGGCCCTATTTTCCCTCTCTCTTCTTCTTCGTTCACCTTTCTGTTCATCTCAAATGCCAGTTAACAATGGTGCACCCCTCCCCTGCCCTGTTGACCTACTCCTGTGCTTTTGAAGTGACTGAGAAAGAGAGAGAAAGAGGAAGTATAGTGGCACCAATAAATCCCACTGTGTCCCAGTATTCATGCCAGTTTGAGTAAAAAAAGATGAAGGCAAGGTTTCTATTTTCAGATTGTATGTGATGTGTTATGGGACACAGGCAAGGGTAGATTGTAGAATAATAAAGTTCTGAACCTCATCAGACATATAACTGGAAAGGAAGCACTAATCAAATCAAAGTCTGAATCACTGTAAAACACTGTTGCTCTTATCCTTGTGTAATAACACTGTTATTACTCTAGTAACTTTAGATGTTAGTAGACAGATCAGATTAAACACACACACACACCATCATAACCACTATAACCTCCCTGGTTCTTGGTTGCCAATAGGTCACTGTGTTGACAGCACAATACTCCCCCTTGCCCTCTGACCCCCAACCAGCTCTGCTCCTAGACCCAGCAGCTGTCTCTCTGGGACTTCCACCAGCACCCCCATTAGCATACGGCACATCCACGTCACACACTCCAGACTGAGGTACTTCCACACCCCAAAATCACTAACAGACTATGGTAACACTTTACATTATGACACTTGTGTAGTAATTCATGACTTTAGTATTGACATTGCATTCACTTATTTATGTTCATGATATCATATCCAAACACATATTGTATCATATTAATATGGTGTTTTTAGTATTCAAGGCTTTAACCACTTAACCCCATAAGTTTTATGTGTTGATGCACAGGTATTAATATATTTTATTGTTACATTATCATCTCTTTGCCACTAGATGGCAATAAATCTATACACAGTCTAGAATACAGTAATGAGGACAAACAAGTCAAGGCTGTAAAAAAGCTTTGTTTAAAACAATAACACATTGGGGAAACATCTTTTTATGTTGATGAACTCTTAATTATTAGTCGTTTCTTTTTGAAAGTGTTATAATTACTTAAGAGCAAACCTAGTAACTCATGAAACTGTTTATTTTATTTTATTCAGTTTATGTATCCTTAGTTTATGTTATGTACAGGTGATCCCATTGGGATTAAAAATCTATTTTACAAGAAAGACCTTTTACAAGATGACCAGTCTTTAGTGGGTATGAGTACTTCATTCTATAGTCTACACTGTAGACTACATTGTATGGCACTGTTAAAAGATAACCAATCTATCCTGAATAGCAAAAGACTGCAAGAGTGTCTTATCCTGAATTCTGTGTGATGTTTGTCTCTATGGAGCATGTGGATGTGGTGTTATGGCAGGTGTTCTGTGGTTGCTGGAATCAAGTGGAGTCAGCAGGACAGGAAGTGGATTATGTACAGCTTCCTTCTTGTCAGTTAATCGATACAGGGATAGGATAGACTGGAGGAGAGGATAGAGGAGCAAAACTACTAAACGGCTCCCTCAGGAGAACTGTAACCATCCAGAGAAGACATGTTTATGGCAACACTTAAGACTTCATCTTATATGTAATCCTCTCTGGACATGCCCTCTTAATAGTAGCAAAATACAGTTACATACTGTAGGCTATATAAAAGACGTAAAAGTGTGAAAAATAAAAGTGTTGTTTCCCAGAAGACAGAATGCATTGCATTGCTGCAGTAAATCAAATATAACTTGGATAATTGGATTGGATGCCAGTTAAATTTCATGAAGCCAACAGCATTCTTAAATGCCAGGTCTTGTGTCCAACTTATCGCTCATGACAGAAAGGGCTGCGAGCTCTGTTATTTATACTGCACGAGTCAGTAGAGCTTGAAATGCCAACCCTCCCCTCTGGCCACCTCCTTATAATGAGCAGATTGCTTGTCATATAGGCATATAACAACTGTGCTTTGACTTGATTGGATTGTTTTTATATACCATGAAGGAAATATTGAGCCTGAAATTGGATGTTAGAAATAATAATTAAATAATGTATCAAAAATAATTCCCCTTTGCCACTGCAATAGAAAAGTCAATAGTTTGATGTGCTGGGCAAATAGTCATATCTTCATGGATCATAAATTACAGTCAAGATTCCTGTATTACCATAAGTAGTCTTTTTTCCCATAATGTTTAGTTGGCACAGGAATGGATGCTGGTGTGAGGATAATAGATTAGACATCATCAAAGGCCCAATACAGCCGTTTTTATATGAAATAATTTCTGGGCAATAATTAAGTACCTTACTGTAATAGATTTCCATTATAATGGGCAACAATAGTTTTTTAGCAAAAAACTATTTCTCAAGCAAGAATTTTGCTAGGACTGTCTGGGAGTGTTCTGAGTGGGGAGGGGAAAACTGAAAACTTGCTGTTATTGGCAGAGAGGTTTGGAACTACTATAACCAATTTACTGCATGGTGATGTCACCATGGGAAGCCAAAACTCCCACCCATGCAAACCTGCTGATTAGAAGGTCCTGTATAGATTGTATTTTCCAACCAGCAACTATCAGGAAATAACACTGATCACATTTTTCACACTTTTACAGTGTTAGTTTCATCAGGTGTTTTACAATATGATATAAAACACAGGAAATCACAAAAACGTGATTTTCCTGTGTTTTATATATATTTCCACACTGAGGTTGGAATAATACTGCGAAATTGTGAAAATGATTATAATGCCCTTTTAGTGTAAGACCTGTTTTAAAAAGACTGTCTGAAATTTTAACGAGTTTTGGTGGGATGGAGTTTTGGCCTTCAATGGTGACTACCATGCTGTAAATTAGTTAATAGACCAATGAAAAAACAGTTCCAAACCTCTCTGCCAATAATGGCTAATTTTTCGTTTTCCCCTCCCCACTCAGACCACTCCCAGACAGTGCTAGAAAAATGATTGCTTGAGAAATCGCCCTTTGCTAAGAAGCTATTTTTGTTTCTTTTTGACCATTTCAATCAAAAGCAATCACAGTAAGTAGTTAATTGTTACCCAGAAATTATTTGATATTGAGATAAAAACGGCTACATTGGACCTTTAAAGAGTTAATCAGGCTAGCCAGTTCTTCCCCTCCACAGTGTTTAGAGTAGTTTTCTAGTTAGAGGAAGTAATTTACCTTTAGTCTGCAGAAACCATCTCCACTCTGTGCTGATCAGGGAGGAAAAGGAAGAGAATAATTATATGGAGAGAGATGCTTAGGCTTCATGTTATGAAAGCACCACATTGGCTTGTCCACTGAGGTCATGAGAGAGACACTGTAAACATGGACTATACTCAATAGATAACGGTGCCTGTTATTTACAGACGACTGCATGCACGTCTAAATTGTTATGCAACTTTCCTCTTCTACTGTTCCCTCTAAAGGGTCTGCAATTGGCCCCTACATTAGTGCGTCCCATCCAAAGAGGAAGATATGGGGAATAAACATAACTTAGCCTATTATACTTTCTCACACAAACTTTGAAGAAATAATATATTTTGCTTTCTAAGCTTGAGTCTTGATGGTTGTTACTGTCCACGTTTCACACCGCAGTATATAGCCTGGACTACTGTAAAGGCAACATGTTTCTGTATTTTACTCTAATTGTTTTGTATATAAATATATGGGTTATACAATATTCCACAATATGTTATTACTGTGTGTAGTATGTGCCCACATCTGAATCCTGACTTCCATCCAGTCTTCTGCGTGGTTTCCTCAGATGGCTTTATCCCTCCTACCCGCTCTCATCGTCTTCTAGCCGCTAAACGGCTAGACCAGTGTGAACATTATTCTTACCATTCATATACGTTATTTTCTTGCAAACTGGACATTTCGACCTACGTGTCTCGGTAAACCTCTCTCGTCTGCTCAACTTTTCCTACTATTCGTGGTATTCGAGAATAGGTCGGAGCCTACTCGCAGTCAAGTATGAGCTGAAAGGAAGCGCACTCCGCGAGGACGTCAAGTGCGAGTTACACTTCCACTGGATGCGCGATGGTACCGTGAGGCTCTCCGCCTAATCTATAGTCTTTAGGCAGAGGGATGGATCAGTTTAACCCTGCTCTGCTCTCCAGAGTTGCACATATTTGTAAATACAGTAATATTTAGTAAATAAGTTGAGGAAATGTGTTACGGGGCTGCAGCTATTTTGGGGAGTTGTGTTGGACAAGAATTCTAAGGATATTCTTTCATCATTTGCTTAAACTTCCATGGCTTGAGTATTTGCATGTATGCATGCTGACAGGCAAGAATGTAAGGTAGCGTATGTCCGGTCTACCGCTCTCACATCACACTGAGTAGCAGAGCATCGGTTGGATTCGCAGCGCTGGACATCGACCTATAACGCCGTTATTCGGATTGCGTTTGAGTACCCAGATACATAACTTTAGATATATTAAATATTGGGATTGCCTGGTCACCTGCTTTCCTTGCCTGTCATATGCCACCGACAACGGAAATTCAAGAGCAAAATGAATATGGCATAAACTATTTCTGGAGACGCCAGTCACAGATATCGCCGCCGACTTGGATAGGGTGGATGAGAATTTCCCAAACGGTCCAATCCTATGCATACCGTGCTTGTTTACTCGCTACGCTGTCTAGTGTCTTCGAGAAGAGCTCAGGAGGAATGCTGGTCCAAGATCTAATACCATTTATTTTAAGTTTTTGGCCTCTTCTCTTCGGTCATTGCATTCTCTCGTTGGTTTTACTCTCATGCCAGGTAGGTATTGTGTTCGTGCGCGTCTATTGTAATTTTACGCATGGCGAGTTATTTATTACACAAACGTAAGTGGAGCTCTATTGTATTGTGTTTTTGGTAATACATGCTTTTGATCCTGGTTGATGGAACTGCTCTTGTCACCTTTTTATGTTATATCAAATATATACTTTTTAAAAACACATGCAATGTTTATTGAGGTGCCTGGGGCCTTTTTGCACCCTCACACTATTGCATCAACTATTGAGAAGTTTTGAGTGGTAAGCAGCTGTAGTTCCCAGTCAGTTGATGCAATGTTTTCATGTGAGGTATACTATTAAGTGATTGGAACACACACACACACACACACACGGGAAGGCAGGCAGAAAGCGGTAGACTCCTGGAAAGTAGTACATAGTGAGCTATAGATTCCCATCTGGAATATGATGTTGAGGATGAGTATTCTAACCCCTGGCCCTTGTTGCTGCCTACAGAGAGCAGTGAGCGGCTGTGCAGGCGCAGTATGTTGCCAGGGTTCATGTGTAATGTGATCTGCTCGAGTTTCCAAGTCCACCCACACACACTCCTCAGGGCAGCCTACTGCCCACTGGTGGTGGGTGGTTTCTCTGAGGGAGAGGGTTGCAGCCATAGACATGATACCATCATGTATGTCTATGAATGCAGCTTCTGGGGAAGCAATATAGTAGAGGGAAAGGATCTTGAAGGTTTAGTTTGCTGATGCACTAGCACTAATGGTACAGGACATTATATGCACTGATTAAATTACAGTAGGTAGGCTACAGTAGGCATATATTAACATTCTAAGCTCTCATCTCGCAATCCTTTTTAATGATTTTTAATGACTTTTTCTGAAATATGCCTTTTGGGGGTGGATAATGAAAGTAAATATTATTGAATGCATAATGAATAGTGAAACTCTCTCTCTCTCTCTCTCTCTCTCTCTCTCTCTCTCTCTCTCTCTCTCAGGGTGAACTCCAGAGGTCATGCTCACAGACTGTAGCTGAGAAAGTGAGCGAACACTGCCAGCTGGCATGCCAGTGTAGAAGCTACCCTCCCCTTCCTCCCCCGCCTCCTCCCCCACCTCCCCCACGGCTACTGTTGGCCACAGGTAAGGTTCAACTCACACCTGTCTCACACCACACCAACCAGCCTCTGCTGTTTCACTCTCCTGTCTCACAGTCACCTGTTTCACTCACAACTGTTTCACTTCCAGTGCCTGTATCTATCTAAACCCTTTCACTTTAAATGTCTTGCTATTCTGGCCTTACACCAGACGATCTGTAGTGGAATGACGTGTTTGCATCGTTTCAACATGAGGTTTCTGAGTAGTGGAAGAGAGTGGTGTGTGTTGACGGAGAAATGCTTTTTCTGAGAAGACTACGAGTGTGTGATACTAGAGCCGACAGGATGTTGATAGCAGAACAGAGGGAGAATTTGTGCTTGACTTTACCTTCGGGAGTACACAGTTGCTTGTGAAATCTCTGCCTGCTGGCCTGCCAGGCTCAGTGGTTGGGTTTCCCCTCGAGGACCCCCTGGTTATAACACAGATGAGTTAATTAAATTATGTTTTGAGACAGATAAGAGGGCTAATGAACTGTCCCGGCAGTCCCATCTGCGTTTTGTAAGTCGAGCCGGGACCACTGACTGACTGACTGACTGACTGACTGACTGACTGACTGTGTGTGTGTGTGTGTGTGTGCGCGTGCCTGTGTTGCCACACAGTTTTCTGTATTTTTCCTGAGTTTCTTGCCTTACTGGTTTCCATGTCTCCTTCACCATACTTCAGTGCTTTACTAATGATCAGATGTGTTTCTGATCTGATACTGGGACATTCTTGTCATTGACAAATGAGTTGTATCAACTATATTAATCAGTGTATGACATCGCAATGGTGGAAGGAGGATAGTTTGTCAATATGACTGTTGATATGATTTGTATGTTGTCATGAATACTGTAATGAACAGAGCTATGAAATATGAGACAGGAATTGCTGATGGTGCACTCAGCCCAGGTTAAAACTGAGACTGTTGAAAATCAGTCAGCCGAAACACTTCATACTGAGAGTCTGCAGGAGCACTTCATCATCAAATGCTCAGCAGACAGCCATGGAAATGGTTCAATCAATCAGATTAAATTATTTCCTCTGTCTGGTCAATTCAGATGGGCCTTTTTTCCTCCTAAATTACCAAGTGAGGCATCTATGAATAGATCGATAGGGCTGTCATTGACCACTGTGTCTCTAACTTACCTAACCTATCTGCCATCTGTTGATGTATAAGTCCACAATGTCCATCATGAATGCAGGACTCTTCCACCGGGTCTTTTCTGTAAATGTGGTCTACAGTCTGTTGGCTGTGTATCGTCTCACCATATTGTAATTCCCTGTTTATGAATCTAAAGAGTTATACACATAGATGCACAATATGGATGTATGTTTATGTATGTATGTTCTATTTCTATGGATATAGATCTTTCTGTGACTACTGTCAAGGCCACTGCATGGAAGATTCCCTGAATGATTCTATGAGATTCTCTGAATTCTCTGACTGTACATTTAAGCATGTCGTTCTGTATTTATTATGTGGTTTGAAAAGAAGATAACTATTACAATGGCAAAGCAAAACCTCTTGGCCACGGCAAAAAAGTATTCATTCAGTAAAATGTGAAAATAGCATTTTTCTATCATAGTCTATGGTACGTTAGGAAGAAAGCATGTATTTATGTTGTTCATGTATTGGGAGAGAGGCAAAACATTTCTCAACTGGCCTCAGTGAGAGCTTTGTGGATAAATAACAGTGGCATACTACTTAAAGGATTTAACTGTAATCATTGCTGTTGTAAAATCTGTTTGTTTTGGTGTGTGCCAGATGCATAAGGGAGCTGATTGGAGTTTTCAGAGTGGTCCCAAAATAATTAATGAATATGCATGAAAAAGTGGGACAATGAGAGAGACTCTATCTACAAAAAGTTTCAAATGAGGCAAATTGGCAGTGTTGAATAAAAGTATGTGCTCTAGAAATGGCTCAGAAGTCCCTTCAAAAGAGAGAGCTTTATCACAATGAAGTAGATCCGTACCCCTGACTGAATTAAATCCAAAATACAGGATTAAAACTGAAGTTGGGCTCAGAGGAGATTTTACATTCATAGTGACTTATGACGTGGTGTACTGGGGGGAAATGTGACTTGTCATTTGCTCTGGATAAATCTAAAGTGTTGGAATATTCCACAGCATTGCTAAGGGTTATGTGTTACCATGGAGTCAATTCCTCCCCCTCATTCACAACAAAACTATACTCTGAATGCATGGGATGTGATTATTGCATTTCTCTCTGTTACTGGATGATAAACCTAGATTATTAAACCCAGCCATCATTACACTCTTGGCAGTGGGTTGGGGAGCTATATTCAGTTCATGTTTTCATACTTAGATATAATAAAATGGATTCCCCATCAGACAGAGTGAGACATGCTTATTGCTGGGGACCCCTAAGACCTCCCTCCTGTCAAACTGAGCAGTATTATCAGTGCCACAGCTTTTAACTATCTCCATGGTAGGCTATTCACCTTCATAAAAAGGGGAGGGTTGGAAGGAATAAAAACAAAAGAGGGACAGAAAGGGAGAGAGAGCGAAAACAGCACGTGGCTAGAGAAAAAACATGTTAGCAGAGAGATGTAGAGAGAGAGAGAGAGAGAGAGAACAGAGGAAGGTCTAGGGAGATGGTGAGAGCATGGAGTACACTCTTCAGATACTGTACGTTGCTAAGCTGCACTGAGTGTAATATAAGTTCCCTGGTGTGTGTCCTTGTACTTGTACATAGTCCTAACCCTCAGTCAGACATAATGTGACCATAACATGGTGCTCCTGTAGGTGGAATCAGTTTGGACATAGAGTGCTTGTGTAATAAAGGCTGACTGCATTTTAAATGATTCATGGAGCAGGGTTAGATATCTCTGAACATTTAACCTAAGAACTGGAAGAACAGGTGAGCACCACCCTGCTATCCAGAGTTAGGAAGCAAATCAGGCCCAGAGCTTTATGGTGTAATAGTATAGTAATATAAGGTTGAGAATCAATACATTTTTAATCAGAACACTGCCAAGTTGATTACAACATGGGCTGTGGTGGGGCTGCATTAATGATGAGCTTTCATCATGCTATCCTAAGACAGAATGGCTGTCTATGAAGCATTTATGATGTAATACATACTGTAGGACAAAAACAGTATCTAGGCTAAAGCAGTTTGCATGATAACCTAATCTCAATAAGCAGCCAAGTGCTAGTGCTGTGTTAGAATAATAATGATGTTTGAAAATGTAACTGTATTTTTCTCTCTTTATCCATCCCCCTCTCCTCATCACTCCCAGTGGTTGAGTCCCCTCTGCCGCTGTTGAGGCCGTGGTGGATGGAGATCATAGTGCTTGGAACGGTGGGCTGTGCCTCAGCTGTTTTCCTCCTTTCAGCCATGATCATCTGCTACAAGGCCATAAAGAGGTATGTCAGTTAGCTATGTCAACAAGATTGGCATGGAAAAGACTGTGTGGTGTCATTCTTATAGCATACATCCATTCAGAATATATCAATCTAAACATAAAAACATGTATATTCCTTTCATATTCAATTATTAGGCATTTTTATTAAGCTTTCAATATCTCATCATTGCTTACAACACAACCTAAAACATTGCTTAGGTTACAACAATAATTAGTGGCTGTGAAAAATATTTTATTCTGGGTGTTGTTGCTATGTCATTGTCATGTTATTATTGCGCTAAAGAAGGACAAGTGGCCTGTCTTATGGGTCAGTGGGAGTTCAGAGGTCAGGGTAATGGAATAGGTCACAGGTGTCATTTAGAAAGCACCACCCATCCACCTACAGCAGAGTCCTTACACTGTCACTCATCAATACTGTATATCATACATAATGTTACACAATGCAGCTTTCACCGCAAAACAAGTTGGATGGAAATTATATCTATAATCTTACAGGGAATAACCCAATGATCTGAAAGACCCGTGCTATAGTTAGCAGTTCCTGTCACCAGTGTTCTAGACATTGAAATACTTTGGACATTCCCTGTTCTATTTCTTGGCGTGGGCTGATTTTGAATTGCATAATTGTACAGAACTTTTTAGACTAGCAACTGAATCAATGTGAAAGTAAAGGCAAGATGGGTTACCGGAGAAAGCCCATGACCCTGTCACCGTAGTGATGATGTGAACTGTTTCCCCCTGTTTGGATTGGCTCATCGGAGGAAAGGCCATGTGGGGCTTTAGCCTGCAGCACAACCAATACCTAATTCCCTGTCTGACATTCAGGCAGCACAGTGTCATACAAGCACTCAGACACACATGTTCAGACACTTAAACACCCACATACTGTGCACAGTGCGTGCACACAGACACACATGATAAACACACACACACACACGCTAACAGGCACAGTGTGACTGAAGAAGATATAAATGTGCACTAAGAATGCATACAGTCACAGCTGTAGACACGTTTTTGCACATTATTTGAATGCATTAAATTGTTATTCATAAAACTGTATAAAGAGTGGATGCTACATATGTCTTTCCTCAGTAGGATTATATTTATCATTTTCCCAAACAACAAACAGGCAAAGTCAGGCAGTGGAAGTAATTGGAGGTTGGCTCAGGAATTCATTATGGCAATTCACCAGCCCCGTCTGTAGCCAAGGGGTACCTTTTTTAATGCAGCGATGGAATGAAAGTGTTGTTGCAATACGGGCCGTTGTAGCCCCAAACCAAAGTCATTATTTATGAATTAATTTGTGCAGTCATTCAGTCGCAGGCTACATCTTTTATACATGCAAGCGGGTCGTGTCCTGAAGTTCTTACAGGGGTGGGATCTGTGACTGCAGACTCTGTGCCACGCCAAGCCTCCATCCCCTGTGACTGCAGACTCTGTGCCACGCCAAGCCTCCATCCCCTGTGACTGCAGACTCTGTGCCACGCCAAGCCTCCATCCCCTGTGACTGCAGACTCTGTGCCACGCCAAGCCTCCATCCCCTGTGACTGCAGACTCTGTGCCACGCCAAGCCTCCATCCCCTGTGACTGCAGACTCTGTGCCACGCCAAGCCTCCATCCCCTGTGACTGCAGACTCTGTGCCACGCCAAGCCTCCATCCCCTGTGACTGCAGACTCTGTGCCACGCCAAGCCTCCATCCCCTGTGACTGCAGACTCTGTGCCACGCCAAGCCTCCATCCCCTGTGACTGCAGACTCTGTGCCACGCCAAGCCTCCATCCCCTGTGACTGCAGACTCTGTGCCACGCCAAGCCTCCATCCCCTGTGACTGCAGACTCTGTGCCACGCCAAGCCTCCATCCCCTGTGACTGCAGACTCTGTGCCACGCCAAGCCTCCATCCCCTGTGACTGCAGACTCTGTGCCACGCCAAGCCTCCATCCCCTGTGACTGAGTGAGGAGGGAGAAACGCTAAGGTCCAGTCTGACTGCCCACATTAGCCCTGAACCAATAACAAATCAGTCTGAGGAAATGATTGAGGAAAAAATTGATTTGAAAATTGTCATGTATCCTCTCTGACTGACTGAGTGAGAGACAGAGAAACAGAGACAGATGAATGTTGTCTTCCAAAGCTTGGAAACAGCAGTAATTGGGTCTTAGTCAATAACAATGTGAGAGAGGTTTTGTCAGTGACAAAAACAGAAACAGTTATATATAGCCCATCCAGCCCTTCAGTGCTCAAGGCTTTCCCAATGAAAATCAGCTGGAGTGTGGCCAAGGCCCCAGCAGCACAAACACTAGAGGAGCTATCTCTGCAAGCCCCGGCCGTCCCTTAGCTGGGCTGCACACATTTGGCCTTTTGTTTTTTTTGTCTCATAATCTTATTCCGCCAGTCATCTGTCAGAGGCAAAGAGGTTGGACCCATTTCATCCAATTCAATTCAGTTCATAGCATCATGGGAGATGCTGCATGACAGTGCTGTGCTATCCAAAACGCAGACATGATGCTGCAGTCCATGCTGTCAGCAATGCAGGCAATCTAAACACCACAACAAAACAAGACAACATACTGTGCCTGTTTTTCTCAATTACTCGCTCCTCTGGGATTTCTGTCCAACAAGGAGGACAAATCAGGACAGTTTGTGTTAAGGGTAAATCCAGCATAACCATTCAGTTAAAGATTTCATGAGAAAGCTAACTATACTGTATCTTTAATGAATTTATTACAGTCTATATTCTATTCTGGTTTTATGATATTTCATTACCACAACCACTTCCGAAACAGTGAAAAGTGAAAACCACTTTATGAAGAGTCTTTAAACAGTAGCATGTTCCTCTAGTGTCCATATGGTATGAGAGTAAATGTAAACAGCTCAACGCATGTCCCAACCTCAACATTATCCCTTCCCCAAACTTCAAACGGACGTGTGCTGGGATTGCACAGATTTGATATGAAATATTAATTTGACCTGTGAAGTGTTGTGTAGCCACCTGCCAAGTGTCAACAGCACGACATCTATTATTAAAGGCCTGGGTAGAGGTCGCTGTGAGGCCCAAACACCCTGCCCTCAATGGTGGCCTGCTGGAAAAATATTGATGATCATTGACTAGAGACTAGGTCAGTGCCAGTGGAGAAAGTTATGGGGCTTAAAACACATTTTCAGTGGTCCATGGAGACTTCAGTGGGGAAGTCTGGTGTATCCCAACTCCCCTAGCTACCTCCAAACCTTAAATGCATGCACACAAACATGCGCACACACACACACACACACACCAGCACTAGCCAATCGTCCCAGCAGGATGTGTTCGCACCCTTGGGCCCTTGAAAAAGAAAAGGAGAGCTGCACACTCTAGGAGTTCAGATGCAATAATTGAATAACCAACATTTGGACAGACAAGCTGTCTTCATCAGGGTATAATGACAAACACTCTGGGTCACTAGTTTATATAGTTTGAAAGGACACACACAGGTGTCTGTAATCATGGCCAGCTGTGGCTTGATTTCATTGGTTGATTTTAGAGGTATAAATAGAACATATAAAAAAGCATGAATGGATAACATAGGATCATAGATACAATTTGGCTACATAGTCCCACAAACACGATTTACAATGGCTAGCAAAAACACAATAATCACAAGAATGGCTTCAGATCAAACTCTGAACCAGAATGGAGTAAGGGTCTTTAAATTAAAGATCCAGGTGGCCTCTCGTTTTAACAATACATTGTCAAGGTCACCCCCTCTCCTAGGGAGGGTGACGTGTTCGATGCCGATATAGCGAAGGGACGAAATAGAGTGGTTCACTTCCAAAAAGTGGGCCTCAACTGGGTACGTCGAGTTTTTGCATCTAATGGTGCTACGATGCTCAGAGATTCTTACTTTTAGTTCGTGCTTTGTTTTGCCCACATCATTGTTACCACAAGGACAAGTTATAAGATAAATAACTGCCTTAGTGGAGCACGTAATAACACCTTTGATTGGGATCTGTTTCCCTGTTTGGGGGTGTTTGAAGGATCTACATTTCTAAGTGCCATTGCATTGAGCGCAGCCATTACACTTGTAGTTTCCATCCGGTAGAGGCGCAAGGAGACGTTGTGCGGGGGTATTTTGATGGTAAATCAGAGTTTACCAATTGATCTCTGAGATTTCTGCCCCGCGAGAATACGACCAAAGGAGGGTCTGAAAACACATTACCTATACTGTCATCAGATCTTAAAATGTGCCAATGTTTGTGAACGATTCCCTTCATTTCTTCAGAATGGCAGTATTGATTTGACCATTTTTGTACCCCCTTTCCTTGAATTTTCTTTGCATCTCAGCCATGTTTCTGTCGAAATCTGATTGTTTTTTGCAAATTATTTTGATTCGACAGAATTGGTTGTAGGGCAAACTGTTTTTCAAGGGAAGCGGGTGACAGCTATCAGCCCTCAACAAACTGTTATGATCAGTGGGTTTCCTGTAAAGATCAGTGTATAGAACATTATCCTCACACAAAATCAAAATATCAAGGAAACTGATTTGACGTGTCAGATTGCGTAGGGAATCTCAGGTGCTCAGAACAAGAGTTCCGAAAAGCATGGAACGCCTTGAGCTGTTTTGCATCACCTCTCCATAAAACAAAAAATATCATCAATGTACCATTTCCAAATAATACAATTTTTGAGAGGATTGAGAATTGACTGTTTCTCCATGTAACCCACATACTAATTAGCATAGTTAGGAGCCATAGGGGATCCCATAGCAGTACCCTTTGTCTGGATAAATATATTGTTTTGAAACATGGAATAGTTACGTGTGAGTACTATTTCAGCCAATGTTATAATGCATGCACTGGAGGGTAGTTCCTTTGGGTCACGTTGCAAAATAAAATGTTCCATGGTACCCTTGGGCCCAGCAGTTTCCTCTCCAGGCAGGTTGTCCCAGGTCTCAGAGGGAGAACACAGCATCTGTTTATTAGCAGGGCTGCCACTGTCTGTGGGTAGCCATCACCACCAAGGTTTTTGGGAAAACAAATACACACAAACACCAGCACTAGCCAATCATGTCCCAGCAGGATGTGTTGGTACCCTTGGGCCTGGCAGTTTCCTCTCCCAGGCAGGTTGTCCCAGATCCCAGAAGGAGAACACAGCATCTGTTTATTAGCAGGGCTGCCACTGTCTATGGGTAGCCATCATCACTACCACCACCACTGTCTATGGGTAGCCATCATCACTACCACCACCACTGTCTGTGGGTAGACATCATCACTACCACCACCACTGTCTATGGGTAGCCATCATCACTACCACCACCACTGTCTGTGGGTAGACATCATCACTACCACCACCACTGTCTGTGGGTAGACATCATCACTACCACCACCACTGTCTGTGGGTAGACATCATCACTACCACCACCACTGTCTGTGGGTAGACATCATCACTACCACCACCACTGTCTGTGGGTAGACATCATCACTACCACCACCACTGTCTGTGGGTAGACATCATCACTACCACCACCACTGTCTATGGGTAGCCATCATCACTACCACCACCACTGTCTGTGGGTAGCCATCATCACTACCACCACCACTGTCTGTGGGTAGCCATCATCACTACCACCACCACTGTCTGTGGGTAGACATCATCACTACCACCACCACTGTCTGTGGGTAGACATCATCACTACCACCACCACTGTCTGTGGGTAGACATCACCACTACCACCACCACTGTCTGTGGGTAGACATCATCACTACCACCACCACTGTCTGTGGGTAGACATCACCACTACCACCACCACTGTCTGTGGGTAGACATCATCACTACCACCACCACTGTCTGTGGGTAGACATCACCACTACCACCACCACTGTCTGGCCCACTACAGGACACACTCCTACAGATTACATTTATAGATAGCACAACACAGGAAGTGCATTGAATCACTGTCACTGTCTCCTGTGATGGGTATCCTTGCATGAGACCTAGGAAGTCAACTGTCACCCCCAGACAGGAAGCTAGTAAGGAGGCTACTGAGTACTCATAGTGACCATTCAGTTATACTAATGAGTGGACTCTAAGTTCAGTGTCTCCAAGTTTAGTACTGGAAAAAGTGAATGGGTTCAGAGACATATTAACACAGTTTATATCACTCATACAATACATTAAGGCTTGTATCATCCATGGAGATGTAAATACTCATTTTATGCAAGAAGATATCGCATTAGTAGTAAAAATTGCATTTGTGGATGATGCCTAAGAGTGACCAATATATTTTATCGAGCATTTAAATATCCTCCCAGTAAGATCCCATAGCAGAGCAAAGGCTTGGTCTGGATTAGACTGAGAATGACTGTCCGGCAGGTCAGACTGGCCAGCAGTGGCTTTAAGAGGAGAGGGAAGGAGACACTGAGCTAAGATGTAGCGTAAGGGTCCCCTGTGCCACTGCAGGCAGTGTACAGTATTGAGTGGGACAATGACTGTACTAAATGTATTCAGATCTGTCTCTGGGTTATATAAGCCTGTGCAGAGGAGAGCAGCTGAAGGGGTCGGCACAGAAGACACAGTACACTGGACAAATATAATAACCACAAAAGCACTGAGGAATGCATGAAAATGGCTTGCATTGAAGGATACTGCTTTTCACAGACCAATAACAGCGGAGGATCATGTGCGTCTGCTTGTTTTGCACCAGAATGTGGCTCACAGAAAGGGTAGCATTACAGCATAACCAGCATAACCAAGAGAGGGAATCTCACTCACATAGACTATTACCGTGTTAGTATTTATTTTATGTTCTATGTATACATAAGCTCTTCTCTGAGGTAAAATAAAATGTTATCGACCATCAATGGAGTGTGTCTAATTGCCACATCCAGCATCTCTTCTGTTTGATTTTTATCTTCTCCTCGTTCCTTTCGTGCCTCTGAGAGCAACGTGAACTTTTTTAATGTTCAGCTTATTAGAGAGCATGACTGACCAGTGCATCCAGCCACAACAGCCTATGAAATCCAATCTCTCTGTAGGTAAACAGCCACAGGCTTAAGGAGTAGAATGATTTATGTTTTTTCTGAAGTTAAATAAAACACCTCTACTGTCATGACATAAGTTGTGTTTGTTTGCAGGAAACCACTACGGAAAGAGGAGAACGGGATGAGTCGTGGGGAGTATGCCATGAGTGCACGCAACAAGAAGGCCATGGGTCCCAACAATACTGTGGTGTAGACTGTCCACTGACAGGAAGAGGAAGTGACATAACCATACCACCCCCCCCCCCCCCCCTCCCCACACACACACACACACACACACACCATCCACCCTACCCAAAATGCAACAATTCCCTCTTACCTAGCACACAACAGGGGTTGACCTGTTTAATACACATTAACGCCTTTCCTTCTCTCTTAACATGTTGCCTGGATGAAAGGAAACTTCCAGATAAAGGAAAGTAGTGAAAAGCAGATAAAAACAAAACATGGAAGTGGATTCAGAGAACATGTAATAAAGTGAATTGAGGACTTCACCAGACTGAACATCATGTTGTCAACACGAAGTGTCATTGACAGGAGGATGGTTAACTGCTAGGCTACCAATCTATGCAGCTCCACACTTCTTACAGGCAACTGCAATGTAGGAACAGACGTTGAAGCATGGCAATGGGATAGGAGGTTGCGAGGACCAGATCATGAAGAAAATGTGCATGCAGGTTTTACTCCTCGGGCTGTCTCTCATCTGTGCTCCTCTGACCCTTTTTCATATTTAAAGCAGAATTTGTACAACACTGGCACAGTTGCAGGTGCTTGCTGTGGTTTGGGATTTATAGTGTTCATCTGACTATGCAATTATAAAATATATACAGGTCATACCAAGTGGGAAGTAAAACGAGGGGATGAAGTCAGTTCCTATGTTCCATACCAACAACACAGCTGAGAACTGAGCCTGAGGACAAACTCTATCTACCTATCTATCTTATTTATTTGTTCATTTATGTATTTCTTGTCTGTGTATGTATTTCATTATTGGTTTATTAAGTCAATTTAATGATTTGAAATGTGTTATTTTTTATGAATTCTTTAGTAATCATATCATTCATTTGTAATGTTTTGATGCTTTAAGCCCACCACAGGAGGTTGGTGGCACCTTCATTGGGGAGGACGGGCTCACGGTAACGGCTGAAGCGGAATTAGTGGAATGGAATGAAATACATCAAACACATGGTTTCCATTTTCTGGATGCCATTCCATTTGCTCCATTCTAGCCGTTATTATGATCCATCCTCCCCTCAGCAGCCTCCACTGAAGCCCACTTCATTTGCTACAGACACTGACACAGGAAACACATCAGCTTGCTCTGCAATGAGTTTTGGGTATCAATTGTTCATTTCTTGCTGTTTGACATGCCTTTCTCTCTACCCTGCAACTTCAGTGAATATGTGTTTTGAGTTTGTGAATGTGTGTTTTCTGACCATGCTTTTAGCAGCTTGTACTGTATTACCCTCAAGTCCTTATCACAGGTGAATGCCCCCTACAATACTAACAGGGTATTACATTTTGTTTTGTCACATCTCAATGGTTAGACAGCCAGGGGAGGCAGTGGGGGACAGTGGGAAGCCCTTTGCCATGTTGTGATGTGATTTTGAGGTCTTCAAGCAAGGGGAGAACCCATCACTATAGAAACAGTGCACATGAGCCCAGGGCTGAAGTGCTGATTGGTGGAGGACAGGATTCTAAACAGAGGCTAATCCGGATATTAAGTTGCAGAGAGGATGGCCTCAAAAGGGACATGTGACTCACACTCACAGGCATCCTCAACATCCTTGTGCTATAAACAGTACACAGTTGATTTAAACCATCAATAAATTATTAAGCTACTTTTTGGCATAGGTGCAGTTCATATGTATATAATGTGTGTGTGTGTGTGTGTGTGTGTGTGAGAGAGAGAGAGCACAATATATGGATGTCTGGCAGTATCTCTGAAATGTTCCATTACTGTTGAATTTTGTAAACACAGACCTTGCATTGTGACATGCATACAGGGGTGGACTGGGACCAGAAATTGGCCCCGGCATTTCTAACACACCAGCCCATTTCTTTCCGCGAGGCCCCCACACCAGCCCATTTTCTTCCCTGAGGCCCCCATTATTAGCCAGATAATGATAATTTTGTTCAAGAATCACTGGGCAGAAAATGGAGCAGCCCATCTGGCATTTGCCTGAAATGCCAGATGGCCAGTCCACCCCTGCATGCATAGGTATTACCATATACCCTATAATGTACCCAGATACTGAAGATGCGTCACTAATACTGTACATTATGAGGGAAATGATCATGAATGCATGAATGTAAATATTGATATTTAAAAAATATCTGCCTTCTGGACTGTAATTACATGTACAGTGTAACAGAAAATATGTTTATACATAGTAAAAATTAAACAATGTGCTACCAATTAGAATTAAATTAATGTTGTCATGTTTATGGTGCAAGCCATTCATGTATATTTGGCAATGAAAAGTTATTGCACAATTGATTCATTATATACCAAAAGGATACATAAAATCGATAATGTACATTCAGTTGATTTAGTTGCTGACTTTTTCAGTTGTAAATATGTCTACAGAAAGATAGGCCTATAGTCTTATCACATAAGCAACAAAAGGAGAGACAAAATGAGATCATGTTTTAATTGAATGGCATTTGGTACAACATTGATAAATCCGGTGTGTGTTAATGATAAAGGTGTTATTTTTAGCCTGTACCCATGGTGCCTCTCCTCTCTGTGTCTCAGAGAGTTCTGTGCTGGTCGTCTCCTGGGCTCCCCCTGGGCACAGGACGTGTTCTCAGTCTGTCTCACACTGTTAATTTTTATCAAACACAGCCATCCCCCTGGGGCTTGATCATGCTAACAGGACAACTTGTGGGCCACTGGGGTTCTTTTGATGTCAGGTCTTGGCACGGACAATCTCTGTGCATACAGACTACAGTATGTACATAGGACTGGTCAACCACTTCTGCTCTGCTACCGCTCTGACCATTGTGACCCACATGGGTGACTGAATAGAGCAGCTGACAAACCCAAATCGAACAACAATCTGGGAATATGTACAACACCCTCCTCAATAGATAATAATATAATTGGAAAAAGCTATGGGCTCTGGTAGCTAGGTCATAAAGGAATCAACTGGTCAATATTCTTGAGCATTTTCTCCTTGCACATTCTGTAGGACATTTTAAAGGGGAGACCATTTGAAGCACAACCACTTCAGAGGGGGAGAAATCCATCAGGGTCTAAGCTGAGCCATGTAGAGAGGGAGGGAGAGCACCACAGAGACAGAGGAATGTGAATGAGAGACTATACAGTAGTCTGCCTTCCCTGCTTTAGATGTGCCACTTGATGATAATGCCATTGGACACTCCGGGCAATTTAAACATTCATGCATTGTCCAGTCAGGGCACTCTGAGTTGCTCTGTAATAAAGAAGATCTGACAGGCCTGAACAGGAAGGCCAGGGATCCTCTCTATCTCAAAAAGCTCTGTGTGGCTTGCCCAGATAAAATACAAGGTATTTCACTAGGGTAAATGGGAAAAGAATCACCTTATTTGTTTAGCAAAAAAGTACATATTTTCTTTACAGTAATATAGCCACTGTGGTATAAATTAGATTATTTATATCATTACAAGATTTTAGGCTGTTTGTGTGCTATTGACTGATTATGGCCAATCAGAAGACACACTATTGATTATATGAATATATACTTGTTATTAAACATCCAATGAGTGCTTCTGTGTGTCTCTTGTTTGTGGCTGTTAGCTGCAGGGCTGAACTGTTTGCTGTCCAGCAGTAAAAAATCAGGGAAAGCCCATGCATATCCTTGCTGCTCTGTGTGTGTGTGTGTGTTTGGTTTTACTATCCTTGTGGGGACCAAAAGTCCTCACAAGGAAAATTCGCCATTTCGCCGGGCCCCACAAGGAAACCAAACACACACACCAGAAGTTCCCACAAGAATAGTAAAGCAACAAAAATTTGACCAACTGGGGACATTTTGTTAGGCCCCACAAGGTCAAATGCTATTTCTAGGGGGTTTAGGGTTAAGGTTAGAATTAGTGTTAGGGTTAGAATTACGTTAAGGGTTAGGGTTAGAGTTAGGGTTAGGGTTTTTGGGTTAAGGTTAGGGTTAGGGTTAAGGTTAGGGTAAGGGTAAGAGTACGGGTTAGGTTTAGGGTTAGGGGTTAGGGAAAATTGGATTTTGACTGGTACTGAGTTGTGTGTCCCCACAAGGTTAGCTGTACAAGACTGTGTGTGTGTGTGTGTGTGTGGCACACAGGTTGTTGTGATGCGTATAGTGCAGTAGTGCAGTAGGTAGAGGGAAGGTGCATGCCTACTTCCCACCAGCTTGCAACCCTCTCGCTTATAGCTTGCTGACGCTGGCTAGCCCTAGTGGTAAACCGGGAAGCAGCTCTGCGCGTAAGCCTTCCCTTGCCAGTACACAGCCTCTCCTTCACCAAGACTCCTGCCAGGCCCCTCGTGGCAACACACGTTAACTGGGCATCCCCGTGGCCCCAGGCTAACTCAGGGGATGTTGGCGCTGCAGTGGTCCCCAGAGATGCGCTGCGCAGGCCCACGTTAGGTGGACACACCCTGGCATTGGCCAACCACTGTCCCGCTGCCTTTTGGGTAAGTCTGGGAAGACAAAGGCTAGGGGAGCTCACCCTGAGAGAAAAGCAACATGCTGGTGGCGCGCAACAGGTGGTCCTCCGACAGACTGAAGCTCTGGCAGCCTCCTGCAGCTGTGGGGAGGTACTGGTTGTCTTGGATTTTCTCCTTGCCACCGGAACCCATTTTCCAACAGCAAAGAAGTGATGTTGGGACAAGCGCATCCCCCACGTCACTCTAAATAATTTCAGCGAGCAGGTATCCGCTACTGCTCTTCAGTGAGTTCCACCTAGTTTTCCTGCGCCATTAAAGTCTACTGGCGATGGGGTGCTTGGTAATGGGGGCAGGACTGAATGATCTGGAAGCTCCTAGCCAGGCCCCTGCACAGTTGGGCTATTGGTCGTCAGGAGCTGGGATTTGAGTGGCAGCTGTTGCCGGCAGACCCCTGTACATCTGAGCAGCTGTTTTTAGGAACCACACTGCTCACCCCGGCTGGTGAAAGGCCTAGAAAATGTGGCCTAAACATTGCCCACTAACTCTCCTGGATACACTACCGCACCTATCAG